ACCTTTCCGCCGCAAGTTCGAGACCTGGCAAGCTGCTGCAGAGAGCGCCGTAGCTGCATTACGGAGCGAGAGCCTAATCAGGGACTGTGTCGTTGTAGCGACGTAGCCTCGGGCATATGTTCCACGAGCCTGTTCAATTGCCTCACTCATTGACATTACATTAAGCACCCTACTTTTAACGGCTCTACGTGAAATGCAGTTATGCTGTCGGGCCTATGACGCCGGCAAATGTGTGCACCGGCGCGCGTGCAAGCAAAGCCGCAAAGTAGGTTTGACAGTCCGCCACACTTTCAGCCACACTTCAAGGGCCCGATAAGGAAAGCCAAGGGCCCATTAACTAGAGCCTATAACCAATTGAACCAGTTCGAATAACCTCACTGCAGTGAAGAGCCTGTCCACAGTGCAGGTATTGAGGCGGCCCGGGAAGCACGCCGTCGTCCAGTGTGGCTAACAAACCGACAGACCTAGACCGGCCCCTTCGGTCTGTCGGTCTGGGTTTGCCGTGGCTGTCGGTCTGTCGGTCTAGGTCTGTCTGAGTTGGAGGGCCGGTCGGTCTGATGGTCTGATGGTCTAATTGACTGATTCCGTGGTGCTACGGTATGGGGTACCATGCCCCACCCCCCTTTCGGTAACACCCACCTTTCGGTAGCGCAATTGAAAAATTCTCCACCAAAAGTCTACCATTTGAACTACATGAAATATGATCAGAACTTAACATTATAAACACAAAAATTATATCATTCCGTAGAGAAATGGACGCTCTTATATGTACCGGCGCTTTTACCATTCGCCCGGATCTGGTGGTGACTGGAAGGGCTTCGGTGCCACCTTGACTTCGATCACTGAAGCTGTCTCCACCTCTGAGACCGCCTCCTCCTCTGTGTCAGAATTCAGCACAACGGCTATCTCTTGGCTTTTAATTTGGGAATGGCTTCCTCAGCCACCAAAGCTTCACTGAGAGTCATGAACCGTCTGTTCGGGTTCGGAATTGCTCTCCTCTTGCCTCTCTGCAGCCGGGCCACTTCTTCCTCTAGCTTCGCGATTCTGTTGCTGTGCTCGGCAAGCGTCTGTTCTTGGGCTTCAAAGCCTCTAGCTATCACGGCGTATCGTCTCCGGGTGCCAGGAGTCTTGTTCTTTCCGAAATCGCGAATCTGGTGGCTGTTTCTTGGCGTATCATCAGAACCCAAAATGGCGCGGACTTTGGAGACGTCTCTACAATGTCCGCGTGAATTTCTGGATGCCGCAATGCCTTGGATCGTGAGATCGGCCAATTCCCAGTGACCCTCCAGCCGGACAATATATTCTTTGCCGTCATTCCAACCTCGCGCGCTTTAGCATATGCCCGTATAAAATTGACCTTATGAACAGGCGCAGAATCGGTCAAACAGGTCAATTTCTGAAGTTCTTTCCGGTAAGCTGCCTTGGAGGCATTGAATACACCGTTATCTAACGGCTGGAGGCCATGAGAGCAGTGGGCAGGAAGGTAACAGCAATAAACGTTGTTCAAAAGCATGTGGCCATCCATGCATCCTGGTCCCGGTTAACGGTAATTCCTACAGAGGTGGATAAAGAAACGCACCGTTGCATGACTTCCATGTCCATCTAATATGATCAGTCTAGCATCTGAGGCATCGGCTGGTCGCGTCTGGGGCAAATAGACCCTCTCAAGCCACTCAATAGCGATATGGTTGTCCGTCCATCCGTTGGGCGACGTTATGTAATGCCAGTCGGCTATTTTGCCGAATTCCGTCAAGAACCACTGTTTCTGAAGTTCTTTGCCCTTAAAGATAATGCCAGGGTAAGGACACGGCCGTCCGCGGTGATAGCTTCAATAAATGAGGTCCAGTTGCGGACTGTGGCCCTTTCAGAAGGGCCTTCCGTTTTGGGTCTGCACTCCCAACCACAAGACTATCCAAACCTGGCAAAGAGTCTGGTTAGTAAAAGTAATGAAAGACAAGCCAAATACTCACCAAAGCCAGACATAATACCGCCTTCGTCAACATTCACGGTATTTTCTGGTTTAATCCATCCATACTCCTTTTCCTGATATCGAAGAACCAGTGAACCGCACGAGGCGTAAAAGCATTAAATCGGTTAGCTTCCTGACGTCTCCCACGCTTGTTCTTGATGTCCGGATGGCGATTGATGAATTTAGAGACCCAGTTGCGCCCCACTGTCCGCTCGTTGTTCAGTTGCTTCATAAGAGCCTCCACACATGCGCGGATCTGACTGTGGGAGGAGCATAGCCGAGAGACTCTTGGCGGAGGATCCAAGAAACCAAGCGAGCTTCCTGAGACTTACTCAAGAGTTGACGAGGCTGGATCTGATCAGCCAGGGCTACCTGGCCTTTGAGTCTGTCGGAAATAGACTGCTGAGGTATGTCATACTTTTGGGCGGCGCGGTACTGCGACAAGCCGTTTTTTGTGACATCAATTATCGCATTAGCCATAATATCCTCCGTATAAATACCCGAGGCCGCTTTAAGGTCATTTTGGTCATGTGGTGGAGGAATAACGAGAAGAATCATCGTCAGGAGGCGGAAGGAGATTAGGGGTTGGATGGTAATTTCGCGTGCAAGGTACGCACAGGCCACAGACCCTGTACAAACATTCAACCATCGAAAAGTAGAATTCAATCAATCCTCTATCTACTCCAAGTGACGGCTTGTGAATATCTTCAAAGCTGGCTGGAATCGGTGTAAGTGAAATTGATGGGTTTTGGTGGGGATATTTCCTAATGCGCTACCGAAAGGTGGGTGTTACCGAAAGGGGGGTGGGGCATGGTATTATCAAATAACCACAGACCAAAAATACCTTTTCTTTCATTATTGTCGGTAGGCTCAATGCACGCGTGCGGGCGCCATTGCGGATAGAGGGATCCCTGTTGTATTCATCTATGAAGGAGAGAGGAAGAGAGGGGTAGGAAGCAGAGGCCACGTTAGCTACTTGTAGCCCCTAACTAGCTAGCCCCTGACTCCACACATAACAGGCTGCACACGTGACCTGCACGCATATGACATAGTCCCCTTATTCCCACACTGGCAGTTTTCTTCTTTAGAGAAGAGGCTGTTGTTATAGCAGCTGTAGGCGACAGCGGCTAGCAGAAGCAACAGAAGAAGAAGAGGCTGTCGAAGAAGCTGTTGTTGTAGCGGCTGTAGGCGGCAGCGGCTAGCAGAAGCAACAGAAGAAGAAGAGGCTGAAGAGGCTGTTGTTGTAGCGGCTGCTGCTGTAGGCGGCAGCGGCTAGCAGAAGCAACAGAAGAAGAAGAGGCTGAAGAGGCTGTTGTTGTAGCGGCTGCTGCTGTAGGCGGCAGCGGCTAGCAGAAGCAACAGAAGAAGAAGAGGCTGTCGAAGAAGCTGTTGTTGTAGCGGCTGTAGGCGGCAGCGGCTAGCAGAAGCAACAGAAGAAGAAGAGGCTGTCGAAGAAGCTGTTGTTGTAGCGGCTGTAGGCGGCAGCGGCTAGCAGAAGCAACAGAAGAAGAAGAGGCTGTTGAAGAAGCTGTTGTTGTTTATCGTGATCAAATAAATGAGACGATAAGGGGTCGTATTGGTCTGTCGTATACGAAGTTATCGAGTAGATACTAGTATTTCTATCGGTCGATGAACAAGCAGCCGACCGATAGAAGTACTAGGCGATATAGTCGCACTATCAATAAGTGTCAGGCAGCAGATTGGTAGCTTAGAGGTTCTCCCGTATGACAAGCAGATCGGGGATAGCCAATTAGCACGAATACCCTTCTTCCTAACCATTCGACAGGCGGGTAGGTTAGTCTAAGGGTCGCGATTCGTCTCCTCTACCTAACTGTCTGTCAATGGTCAAGCCAAGAGACTGATCAGTGTCGGTAGGCTCAATGCACGCGTGCGGGCGCCATTGCGGATAGAGGGATCCCTGTTGTATTCATCTATGAAGGAGAGAGGAAGAGAGGGGTAGCAGAGGCCACGTTAGCTACTTGTAGCCCCTAACTAGCTAGCCCCTGACTCCACACATAACAGGCTGCACACGTGACCTGCACGCATATGACATAGTCCCCTTATTCCCACAATTATTAAGCGAAGCTGTAAATTGTGCTACAAAGTGACGAAGTACACGCAGTGCGCAAATTCAGCGGAGCTTCTTTAAGCAGGTTTTTTGGGGGACCACTTTTTCCTAGCACAGCGTTTTGATTGGCCCTACTATTAATTTGCAGAACCATCATTGGTCAGATTTACCCGGTGATCACCCGCGACTACGTTATGATTGGTCAGATCCGATGTATACTGTACGCCGTAGAATTATTCGTACCGTACAAAACGCTTCTGATTGGCCCAAAAGGTTTACCCGTTGCTTTGCCATAGGGAAGTTTACCCCCACCTTTGCCGCAACAGACCTCACAGCGCGCGCCTTACATCAATGCACCGTGGGGCTTAAGGTGTTACGCATTAATGTATTGAAATGTCAGTAGCTTTTACGTCTAGGCCCTATAGGAGAAATCCTCCGGGTGAAATACCATACATACATACATACATCAATGCATTGTTGCATCTTCGTAGCACAGAAATTTACAGCTTTGCTTACTCCTGTGACGGCGTATTCGGCGGCAACCCAGGTACGTTAGCTACTTGTAGCCCCTAACTAGCTAGCCCCTGACTCCACACATAACAGGCTGCACACGTGACCTGCACGCATATGACATAGTCCCCTTATTCCCACAATTATAGACACCTACTAAGCTACCAACCCTCTCATTAGCCACTGCTTTTGAAGCTGATCAGCCTCGACTATTTCAGGCGATAGCTGATTGCGCTCGTCTGTGATCATCTTCTTTGTCTGGCTAAACACTCTCTCACATTCAGCACTTATGCCAGGAATTGAGAACAGATCTAGCGCCATTCGATATAAGACTAGGTATTCCAGTTAATGCCGGCTCCACCATTTAAGAGGGTTTGCAACGTCAAGATCTTAGGCGTAAATTGGCCTGGTCTAGAATAAGTCAAGCTCACTCACTGCCTTAACCTTCTTCCGCTATGTGTTTAACGAGCTAATCGATCTCTTTCCAAACGAGCTGTAGTCATTGTCAGCGTCGACTTCCTCGGATTCGTCTTCCAAAAACCCAGCTTGAGCCTGAGTTTCAACTTCAGTCTGCCTCCGGTATTCATCGAATAGGCTACCAACAGCCGACTGAATGTCGCTATACCATTGCGGCTTGTTCATCGCCTTCTTCCAGTGTCGTTCGAAGTAGTCGTACCCATACGACGGGTGCAGTGCTAGAGCTGCCCGATAAACAGGTGTCCTATCGGTTTTGACGTAATAGTCTTCAAGCTTCGCCCATCCACAGTCAATTCCCGACTTAAAATGGGAGGCCTCCTCGAACTGAGTATCCTCCGCGGCCTGCTTGAATTTCATGAACAGGTAGTCCATGGTTTTAAGTGTCTCCCACACAGCGCCGTGGCCGCCCTCCGCCCCCGGCTTACTGGCGTTGCCCTCTATAGTCTTCGTCAGGATATAAAACGGCTTCAAGAACTCGTAGAAACGCTCTAATTCAACCCAGTCCCCAGCGTTGAGGAAGTCGTTAGTTAGGTCACGGTGATCAGGGTCATTCTTAGGCTTTTGCCAGCGAGATTGATAGAGCTCGATGGCGCAGCGCAGTTCGAGTGCTGGTGTAAGCCGACAAGTTGTCAGTACTCAGAATACGGAAGCAACCTCGGACGAGAAACGTACCGCGTTTGATCATCATGTATATAGAGTTCCAGCGAGTCTTGCCGTCAACAACAATCTCCAGGGTAAAAATAGGATCGTCACCAGCGAGCTCGGTCTGCAAATGCCGAAGACCCTGTCGTCGCTGATCTGTCCGTCGAATGTAGGTGGCAATGTTGTGGAGTCTGCCGATAGCTCCTTTCTTGGCCCAAATGTCGAACTTGAACTCATATGTAGCTCCACGAAGCTCAGCCTCGAATTTACTGACGTTGGAGCCAAAAATAACTGCTCGGACAACCAGGTTGATAACGTGGCCTATACAGCGTAGGCGGCGTCGGCTGACATCCATTGGAAACCACCTAGCAAGCGTCTCTAGGCAGGTATCGTTGCTCTTGGCGTTATCAAGCATGAAGTATCCAAGCTTGGACCCCAACTCGTATCGATCGATTACCTCCTTGAGATAGGCGGCGATATTCTCACCGGAGTGTGGACCGACTAAGCGCGGAAGTCCAAGAAGGACATCGCGTTTTGGCCTTCACTGCCAACAAAATGTCCGACAATTCCGACGTAGTTAAACGCATTTGAAGCAGTCCATAGATCAAAGCTGGTGTGAACCGAGCTCTTCGCGTTCTTGACGAGATCAAAGACAATTTGCTGTCGGCGTTCAAAGGCTTGACGAATCCATGAGCAGATCGTGGTGTGATGCTCCGGAAGTAGCCGACTTGCAAGCTCTCCTCCATTCGATACGAGCCACCCAAGCCGCTCGCTGGATGCTTGTCGAAAGGTGACATCTTCCACTATGACCCAGTCCACAAAGCGAGCTTTCCATGTCCTCTCGTCGAAATGGGAGGCGAGCTGGTAGCCTAGGCTGGCCTGTCGAGATAAAGGTAGGGACGAAGAGGATGGTGACGTAGCCGCCAAGGTAAACGGAGTCTTCAATCCGGGACGACTCTCGCCGAATTCCGTGATTTGGTGCTGACGACGCAGGTGCTTCGCGGCGTGAGACGTCCCTGAGGAGGCGTATAACGCTGTCGAATAGTTCTTCTTCCCGTGACAGATTCTGCAAAGCCAGTAACGTACTCCGCTATGCTCCAAGTTCGCGCCGTATCTGTAGATCCACGACTCTTTGATCTTTGTGCCGACGACCCTTTTGTGACGAGGTCTCATTTGGCACCCAAAGTCGTTTGCCGCCGTGCCAGATGTTCTCCCAATCAATGTCAAATTCGCATTGTGAAGCATCTGTCTCGTCTGCTCTGGCCTCGGACGTGGCAGGCGTAGCCTCATGACTGTCATTAACTGGGGTGGGATGTGGACGGGATGCAAATGACTGCGGTACAGACGACACGGGGCTCGTATCCCTACTAGAAGACATAATGACGCGGTATGATACACTGTAGCTCGTAGATGGATGGGAAGACGCGAAAATTGGCAGGGCAGACGCGTAACTTGTTGACATTAGGTAGGTGCTACCTTAAGGCGGAACGGACCAATGGCATCACGGGAACACCAGTCCAGTCAGACCGACTCAGACCACCCAGACCGACTGACTGCTCCGGTCGGTCGGTCTGATGAGAATTGGCGGTCGGTCGGTCTGCGGTCTGTCAGACCACCTTCAGACGGTCTGTCAGACGGTCTGTCTGTTAGCCACACTGGTTCGATGCGGGCATAGTTCTGCGTTGGCAATTTACGCCGGGTCCTAGGAGCAAAGAAACTTGCTGCGGCAGATGTTTTCGATTCAGCAAGGGCCATACTATGTATCATGTTATAATTAGCTATCCACTCGTAAAGTGATTAAATAAGAGGGGGAGGTTGGAGGGTCATGAAGTTTTACCCGGTCTTGGCTAAAGGGCTCGAGAATACCAAATAAACCACAATAGAGTATAAAGGAGTCGAGGTTGAACGGGTAGGATAGGTCGTCGGGCGGGCGTTGATTCGGGGGTCGACCCGAAGCCGCTGTCGGAAATATCGAAGCAGGAATTAGGCGAGATCGTCGTAAAATAATGTCGTGGAAGTTGTCGCGAAGACCGTTGCTCAATGCAGGCAAAAAAAATGTTGGATGGGCTGGCCGTGTCTTTCCGACAGCAGTAGGATTAAGGGATTTCCCGGTGATCTGCCGGATCGGGCGATTCGCCGGATTCACCGCCAGTTCACGTAACCCTGCCGATGACACATCCATTGGCAGCGTTGAGAAATTGTGCAACCAGGCGGTTCGTGTCGCCGATGCAGAAGATTGTCACAGCGGTGCAAACAGTGCAGATGGACCAGATAGAAGACATACACGAGTATGCCTTGGCACCGTGGACACCCCGCATCCAAGTAATGTTGGAGAGCGACAAAGCGAAGGCCGTCAAGGCAGCGAATGATGCCAAAGGCATTGTGACAGCAACATCCAGCTCGCAAAGAAACGGCATGGTGGGGATGGGAGGCGTGGTGCGCGGTGTGAACCACAACCGCTCGGGCGTCGTTCTTGCCAGCTATTCCGTGTGTGTCGGGACTGCGGAGGAGCAGAACCCGTACACGGCGGAGCTGGCAGCGATAGCTATGGCGCTGATGTGTACGCCGACGGACCCGCCTTGTCGAGAAGTGACGGTTGTGACAAGCAGTCGCTCAGCCCTGGAAGTGATCAGGCGTCCTCGTAGGCAATCCGGCCAAGGAATCATTCGCCAAATTTACGACCATGTCAATCGACTAGTCAGGCGAGGCTGGTCGGTAAAATTCATCTGGGCACCAGCCAAGGAAGTACGGCTCGCATGGGCATCGGCCGCCAAGACGGCAGCGAAGAAAGCAACTCAAGCAGGAGCCGTGGCAGAGAAGCCGTCGTGCAGAGCCAGATCCACCACCCTTCGTCTGGCACTCGCTCGACAACAGCGTGACAAGCTTCCGGAAAATGTGGGAAAACACTCAAAACGCATCGACAGGGCTTTGCCAGGGAAGCACACCCGCACTCTTTACGATTCTCTGTCAAGAAAAGAAGCCGACATTCTCGTCCAGCTCCGCACCGGCATGTCGCGACTGAATGGATACCTACATGCGATAGGAGCTACAGATTCGGATTTGTGTGATTGTGGACAGGCACGAGAAACAATTGATCACTTTCTCTTTCGATGCACAAAGTGGATCACGCAACGGAACATTCTCTTCGAATGCGCGAGGGCCAAGATTGGGAACTTGTCTTTCTTCTTGGGAGGAAAGGCTGCATCGGATGGCGACAAATGGAAGCCAGACGTGCAGGCTGTTCGTGCGGCGATCAAATTTGCAATTGAGACGGAACGGCTCGACAGAAACCAGCAACCATCAGAAAACAATTGAACTCTAATAGGCAACTGCACTAACACATCTCAGCTTCGAACTGGCAGACCGCGCTTCAGCTGCTGCGAATAGGATGCTGAACACTTGGAGAATTCGGCCTTCAAGCAGGCCTGTCATGGGACCAATGATAACGAGGCTGAAAAGCAAGTGATATGACGACAATCCGTGGGGCTTGGGGAGTCAGGTACCAAACGTGCTGAAATGTAACTAGATTGTGTAAAGGCCTTATAGGGACCTCCCTCCGGGCGAAATAAATCCATCCATCCATCCAGCCAGTTCACGTCTCCACTTCAATCCTGAATTTCTCCACCACCATGGCCCCGATTGATGAAGCGCTTGAGTTTCTGAAGCTGTGTGACACTGTTAACTATGCCAAGACTGCGCGTCAGTTCAATTGCGACGAGACTACCCTGCGACGGCGACACCAAGGCAAACAGAGGTCAAGACGGGATGCCGACAGTTTGTAAGATACCTGGGTTGCCGCCGAATACGCCGTCACAGGAGTAAGCAAAGCTGTAAATTACTGTGCTACGAAGATGCAACAAAGCATTGATGTAAGGCGCGCGCTGTCAGGTCTGTGGCGGCAAAGGTGGGGGTAAACTTCCGTATGGCAAAGTAGCGGGTAAACCATGTTGGCCAATCAGAAGCGTTTTGTACGGTACGAATAATTCTACGGCGTACAGTATACATCGGCTCTGGCCAATCACAACGCTGCCTCCGGGTGAACTCTGGGTAAATCTGACCAATGATGGTTCTGCAAATAATGAGTAGGCCAATCAAAACGCTGGGTAAGGAAAAAGTGGTCTGCACTTTTTCCTCAGTAAAGAAGCACAGCTGAATCTGCGCACTGCGTGTACTTCGTCACTACGTAGCTCAAATTTACAGCTTTGCTTAATAAGTCACGTCTCTCAAAACAGCAAGAAAGGGATCTTGTTGCGTATATTCGCAAGCTTTCATCACGTGGGATTCCGCCTACGCTGCCGATGATCAAAAGTTTTGCCCAGGATATCGCCAAAATTGAGGTCGGAAAGGACTGGCCGTATAGCTTCGTCCGACGTAACAGCGATGAGCTCGGTTGCACTTGGTTCGACGGTTTTGATATCGCAAGAAAGAGAGCAGACAATGCTTCTAGATACAGAGCCTACTATGAGCTTGTAAGTAGGTGCCCAAGTCCATCCCTTCATTGCTGATCGTACAAGATTGGCGAGAAAATCGAGAAATACGACATCCTGCCTTGCAACACGTATAATGTGGACGAAAAGGGCTTTCTCCTCGGCGTCATCAATCGTACCAAGAGAGTATTCTCTGTTCGTGCCAAGCAAGGAAAATTGATCGGTGCTGCGCAGGATGGCAACAGATCATGGATCACGTTCCTGGCATGTGTCTGCCAAGACCTGACCGCGCTACCCCCGTTTCTCATCTACCAAGGCAAGCCAGGGCAAGTTCAGGACTCCTGGCTCACGGAGTTTGATCCGGAGCACCAAGCGGCGTTTTCACAACCTCAGAAACGGGTTGGACGAACCATGAACTTGGAAAGGAATGGCTCATTGGTGTTTTCGACCGGTTCACGAAAGAAAAGGCGCGAAACGGCCGGGATTACCGCCTCCTGATTACCGACGGACACTCTAGTCATGTCAATATGGACTTCCTGGAGTGGTGTGACCAGCATCGGATAATCGTTGCCGTGTTTCCGCCGCATTCCACGCACAGGCTGCAGCCCCTGATGTGTCCCTTTGGCCCTCTTTCGACCGCATACACCAACCAGCTCATCCAGTGGACTGCAAAGACACAGGGACTCATCGGGCTATCGAAACGCGAGTTCTGGTCGTTATTTTGGAACGCATTCGGGTCATCTTTCTCGGCGGAGAACATCGCAAGTGGTTGGAAACGGACCGGACTCCTCCCATTTGACCCTGAAGTCGTTTTGTCGCAGATCGCGGAGAAAACAGAAGATGAGTCTGAGTCTGGCGACAGCTCCGTTGACTCGCTCGCCCTGCAGCAGCCCACTGCTCGGGATTTGCGCCGACTTGTCGACAAGGTAGTCGATGGATCCTCAAAAAACGCTAGCCGAGACAGTCGGAAGCTCAAAAGTACTCGAAAGTCTCCAATCTCAGAACGAATTGCTTCGATATGAGAATCAGGGACTTCGGGAGACTATCTTTCACGAAAAGCAGCGCAGAATGCGCGGTAAAGCTCTGAAGGATTACCTTTTCGATCGTGTAGATCCTAACTCGGCGCAGGTATTTAGCCCTGCAAAAGTGGCCCAAGCGCGCTTGAAGAAAGCAGCCATGGAGACTCAGAAGCAAGAAGAGGCCTTGGAGAAAGAACGACAAAGGTTTGAGCGACAGCAAAAGGCGGCAAACCTCAAAGTTCTCGCTCTGGAGAAGAGAAGGCAGCGGGAGGCAAAAACTGAGCAAAGACGTCAGGCAAAGGAAGCCAGACAACAAGAGCGGGAGAAAAACAGGCAGATACGGAAAGAGCTCAAGCGAAAGAACCAGAAAAAATGTCGGAAATGGGATCCGGACCTCTGTTGCTCCACAGACTCGCGAGAAGAGTCCGGGCGTTCGAGACGAGATTGTCGTCGCCATTTCGGCTCCACCAGAACCGACGACAGCTCCGGAACACTCAAAATCGCCAAACATTAAGTTGCGTAAAGATCCAAAGCCGGCATTGACCACTTCCTCACGTCCCAAAAGCCATCATTGGCTGTCGAGCGCGACCAGGAGATGGTAGTCGCAATGCGGGGACTTGCGCGATCGGGACGCCACAGGAAGCGGCCACGGTGGCTTGATGACTGCGAAGTAGATTGAATGGAATTGCTAGGCATCTTTCTTGCTTCTGCTTTAATGTGAGATTGTTTCATATTATTTTCGTGGAGTTTCACTCAAATCTTCACCGGAATGCAAGGGAACCAAAATCCGGCGAATCGTCCGATCCGGCAGATCACCGGGAAATCCCTTAACAGGTGGTCAATTGAGCGCGAATAACGCGTCTAAACCCAGCTGGTTGGCACAATATATCCTTATCATGCAGATGTTTCGGTACTTTCTCATCGGGCTAGCTTGTGTGGACAAACAAGTAGCAGTCATATTGGGCTCGAGGAGTAGATAAGTCCCTAGCAGCCTCTTAATCGCGAGATGACGCAATTCGTGTCACCTCCAATTGTTCGCGCAGTATCGAGATGTTGAGGGATCTGAACGCGTTTTTCGAATTAGCTTGCCGGTGTCGTGAAAACGGGTTAACGATCTAGGTCCGGAGGTTACCTAGTCGGGCTGACTCTAGCAAAGGTGACTGAGAAGGATGAATAATGTTGTTGTTAAGCGGTGGTATCGAACCTTCTAGATGACAACGTCATCTAGGCGGCCTGGGTGGCGACATCGCCACCACAAGGCAGCCACAGGTGACAGAACTATAAGAAGTCACTTTTTGTTAGGGAGGAAGAAGAATCTAAGGACAAGAAACAAAATCTATTCATCACTTGCACCCTCTCTTCGCGAGAGTTATGAGCCCGGGAGAAACAGTGTTTCTGTAACTTCCGGCTGCTGCATTCTTCCACAACCGCTCTCGATTGAACTTATCGTCGATTAAGACACCTCTACGCCCCATTTCTCTCTCCTTAATCATCCTTTCTGCTTCAACCAAGATGTCGAAGGACACCATCCAGCGCACGATTCTTACGGAGCCTCAGGATTGGGATAAGTGGCTAAAGGAGCTTCGGGCCCGTGTGGACAAGACCATCCACAAGCTCATCTTCGAACATGACAAGACCCCCCTTGAACTACCTGAACGCCCCGAATTCAGTGATTTCAACGCTGAGGCTGAAAGATTTGCTGATCTGAATGCAGGCCAGCAGAAGGCTTATTCTGAAGCATCGAGGGACTACGAAGGTCGCCGAAAGGAATACCTCTACGAGACGAGGCTCGTCACAGCAGCCCGTACGACGATTACGGAGACGATTAGCAAAGCGAAGTTGACCTCCCTTCACGACGACGAGACTCTTCGGGAGTGGTTTGTAAAGCTCGAGGCCTCGACAGCCCCAACGAGGGCTATATGATGGAACGTATCCGAGCCCAGTATACGATCCATCTTCGAGCTTTTCCGACGAAGAATATCTCTACCTGGCTCGCTAGATGGGAGGAAATCATGGGAGAAGCTGAACAGTACTTCCTCGTGGAGGCTGTGACCGGCCAATGGCTGCGAGACATAGCTAGCCTGATTAAGCCCCTTTCCGACGGCTTCTCGGCTATATTTATCCGCGGAAGCAAAAGGCTGACGAAGAAGCCGCTGCCATCCAGTTCAAGATCTACCAAGCACATAGGCCAGGACTGCATCGAGAATCCCAAAGCGACCAAAACAATACCTAGAAGAAAGATGGACCTACCAGGAAGCAGCTCGCCAGGTCAGGAAATCGTCGAATTGAACCAGTAACGGCCCGGGAACGGTGAAAGAGGAGCCGGCTTTCAGGCCAGTCCGAAAGAAGATTCCACGCCACGGAAGAAGAGGAAGGAAGCATCTGACAAAGACCGTTGCCCAGCTTGTGGTCTTGACAGCCATGAACTTGAGGGTTGCTGGCAAGTCTTCGAGGAATTACGGCCAGGCCATTTCAATCGATCTGAAAGGCTGTGCAAGAAAGCCCAGAAAGCTATCAAGGACAACCCCGACCTACGGAAGAAGGTCGAGGAGATCCGCGAAATCCAGAAAGATGGGAAATAGCAACCAGCGACCCGGGTTCGAGGACGGATGGTTGGGACGGCCAATCCGGCTTTCGTCTACCCAGCCGGGTCATCGGTGGCAGCATCGGAATACCCGCTCCGCCTATCCGCGATCCTTGACTCAGGAGCTTCACTTCACGTGTAATACACTCAGCCGATTCCGGTCATTCAGAAAGGCCCAGAAAGACTACCTAATCACAGGGGAATCAGAAGTCCGGATTGAGGGGTACGGCAGGGTTAATTTCACGATGACCTTACCGGACGGATCATTCCAAATACTTCGGCTGAAAAAGGTAGCTTACTGCCCAAGCTTTTCAACGAGCCTGATTTCCTTCCAAACCCTACGAGATGAAGGAATCTATTGGGACACCTTCTCGGAGCCTACGAGGCTAGTACGGCGGAATCAGACGATTGGGATTCTTCAAAGGAGATACCAACAATTCGTCCTGGAGTTCAGGCCAACAGCAGAAGCGGAGACCGTGAATTTCGACACAGTCTTCCAAGCAACAAAACCTCGAAGGGCCGGGACCAAAGACCCTCGCCCGGCCAGCCAAGGAGACGGCAACCTCTGGCACGCCCGCCTCGGTCACCCGGGCCCACTGGCCCTCCACAAGCTAGGCCTTCGAAACGGGGTTCGAATCAAGGGGCCAAAGACTGTGGAGTGCGAATTCTGTGCTCAGGGGAAGGCCAGGAAACAAATTTCCCGCAGACCCCCCGACCGGGAAAGAAATCGCCCTTGTCACGAGATTTGGATCGACTGGACCGACCTTTCCGCAGACCACGAAGACTTCGTCCGTGTGATGTTTATCACAGACGCCTTTACAGGAATGGTTTTCCCTATTTTATGCGGACCTACCAAGAGAAGCATAATTGGGCTGTGTTGAGGATTTTGTCCATTGGATGAAAGACCGATACGGCTTCGAAGTGAAGGTCGTACGCTCAGATGGGAGCTCTTTACGAAGAAGATCACAGCATGGTTACGAAAGAAGGGCATTTCAGCGGAAAGATCGGCTTCAAACACCCAATCCCAGAATGGAGGGCCGAAAGATCGGGAGGCCTTTCTATAGAAAGAGGCAGGGTGATGAGAATCGCTTCAAGGCTCCGCATAACCTCTGGAAAGAGATCGTGGAAGCCGCATGTTATCTTCGAAATCGAACTCCAAGAGAGCCGAGGGTCCAAATCAACGCCGGGTCCGACGCTCCGGAGCCCGACGCGAAGCCAGGGGCCGAAGAAGAACTTGAATGGAAGTCCCCGATCGAGCTGTTCACAGGCAAGAATGCCCAACTGTCACATCTTCGGGCTTACGGTTGCAGGGCCTACGCGATGACTGCAAACGCCCAATTGAAAAGGGACAAACTGCGGAAGCTTGATCCGAGGGCTCATATTGGGTATCTTGTCGGTTATAATTCTACGAATATCTTCCGGATCTGGATTCCATATCTTAAGAGGGTTGTCTCGACAAGAGACGTTGTTTTCGACGAACATACCTTCTTCGACGGAAAGCTCGAGCAACAATCGCTGCTATCAGGCATCGAAGAGCTTATCCAGAAGATAGAGATCCCGGAGGATCAGAGAGGTAACCAAGAAGCTCTCGATGAAGAAACCGATGAAGAAACCGATATCGAAGGCCTCGACGCAGAAAGCACTGCAGGAAGCACGATCGTCGTAATGACCCAAGAAGAAGAAGACCAAAGCGAAGAACAGGAAAAGGAAGACTACGAGAGGGCTAGAGTTCTCGAAGAAGCTGGCCTTCTGACGCCTCCCACAACAGCGGATTCAGAAGACGAACCAGGGCAGTCTTTTCAGTCCATCTTCCTGTCGCTACCCCTGAGGGGTGGGAGGAAAGCAGCCCTCCGTGAGGGGTGGAAAACCTCACTTTCCGGACAATCCTACAGCGGCTGTTTTTCGGCCTTGCTCTGCAAAGCCAATGAAGCGTCTGATCAGACAGGGATAGGACAGGAAGACCCGTTTTTCGACCGATCGGACCGATTTTCGGACTTTAATCCTACGCCCATCCAAGACGGATGCCGCGGAGCATTTACAGCAGGGAGGCTCTTCAGGCCACAAAAGAAGCCCACCAAGGTCCATAAGAGAGATCTCCCGGATCCCCCAGAAACCCAGAAACAACTCGAGAATCACCCTTATAGGGAGGAATTCGCCCAAGCCCAACAAGATCATCTTGCCTCACATGAGGAAATGGGCTCCTTTGAAGAGATTTCTTGGAAAAGGGTTGCCGGCCACCAGGTTCTCGGATGCAAGTAGGTATTCATCTATAAGACAGATAAGCATGGACTTCTTCAGAAATGCAAAGCCCGGCTCGTCGTTTGCGGCAACCAACAGAAAAAGGGGGACCTTCCGACCCGGGCCACAACCTTAGCCGGGATGTCTTTCCGGACCCTCATGGCCATTGCCGCCGAGTATGACCTCGAGCTTGATCAGATGGATGCCGTCAACGCATTCGTCAATTGCCCTCTTGAAGAAGAAGAAGTCGTCTTTATGAGGATGCCGCCAGGCTTCCAGAAACCAGGAAGGTGCTACGGCTTCGAAAGCTCTCTACGGCCTACGCCGATCCTCTTCTTTGGCAACAGCATCTCACAGACTCCCTCGAAGAGCTGGGGTTCAAGAAAGTCCCTCAAGAACCCTGTGTGATGATGAAGGGTGCCGTGACCGTCTTTTTCTACGTGGACGACATTATCTGGGCCTACCGAAAGGAAGATGAAGGCTTAGCTAAGGAAGCCATACAAAGGCTCGAAGAACGCTATAAAATGAGCTTCCTAGGGAACCTAAATGGTTTCTAGGGATACACATCCTCCGGGATCGGCCCCATCGAACGATCTGGCTGACCCAGGATTCGTATATCGACAAGATAGCTCATAAGTACGTTCCCGAAAGCCTAGGCCCTTCGAAGCTCCCAGACACTCCGATGGTCACGAACGAAGAGCTCCTTCCGGCTTCTAGCCAAGCAAACCAAAGGGAGATACATCAATATCTCCAGAAGGTCGGATCTGTGCTCTTTTCAGCCATATCCACGAGGCCGGATATTGCATTTGCAGTCTCCCGGCTAGCCCGCCACAACCAGAACCCGGACGAATCACACCAACGAGCCGTAGATAGAGTCATCCTTTATCTCTGCGGCACGCGTTCGTACGGCATAAGGTTTGGGGGCTCAAAGAAAGTCGAACTGTTTCTTTGTTCGAGTGATGCATCATTTGCAGACAATTCTCTCGACAGAAAGAGCTCTCAAGGCTACGTTATGACCCTATTCGGGGGAACCATTGCGTGGAAAGCCTCGAAGCAAGCCACAGTCACAACGTCGAGCACAGAGGCAGAGCTCCTAGCTCTTTCAGAAGCCTCAAAGGAAGCAATCTTCTTAAGCCGGTTGTTGACGTCTTTACGGATTCAGATCCCCTTGCCGTTGCTAGTAGAGTGTGATAACTCGCAGACAATCAGGCTCCTCGAAGAGGGAAGCGCGAAGCTATCTACACGGCTAAGGCATGTCGATATCCATCAACACTGGCTACGTCAGGAATGCCAGGAAGGCCGAATCCGGGTCCGTTGGGTCCCCACGGCACATATGAGAGCCGATGGCTTGACCAAAGCTCTGCCAAAGCAGAAACTCTTCGAGTTCCAAAGGATGATTGGGCTCGAAGATCTCACGGAGCGGCTACGCCTAGAGGCCCGGTTAGAAGACCTCCGAGACCAGATCAAAGACCATAGGAAGCCTATGCCGCCGGGAAGGTAAAGCATTCGTATCTCCTATTCACACCGGTCGATCGGCCCTTCGATCGTTGCCCTTAAAAGGCTTTTTAGCTACACCCGATCGGGATAGGCTATAGCTAAGGGGGTGTGTCGTGAAAACGGGTTAACGATCTAGGTCCGGAGGTTACCTAGTCGGGCTGACTCTAGCAAAGGTGACTGAGAAGGATGAATAATGTTGTTGTTAAGCGGTGGTATCGAACCTTCTAGATGACAACGTCATCTAGGCGGCCTGGGTGGCGACATCGCCACCACAAGGCAGCCACAGGTGACAGAACTATAAGAAGTCACTTTTTGTTAGGGAGGAAGAAGAATCTAAGGACAAGAAACAAAATCTATTCATCACTTGCACCCTCTCTTCGCGAGAGCCGGAGGCTGTTTAACGGTATAAGTCCTGTATTCTATTTTAAAAATTTGGACTGCCGAGCTTAATATGTGCTTGAAATGTAGTTTTGCAACTAGAAAATGATTGATCTATTGATTGACTTGAGGATGATGTGGCATTTATGGAGCAAATGTTAAGCACAGATATCGAGAGTTATATCACCCGAACGAGAAAATCCAGAACATTCGAGTGGCACTACATTTAAAGGGACTAGTTATATGCACAACAGGTTACGCTATGTGCACAGCAAAAAGTGGAGTGGTGTGGCTTGGTGGCGCAGGAGCGCCGATACCGCAAATTCCCAACCGTGACCTAAAGGCGCGCTCAAGCAAGGCCAGCTGTAAGTTGATGCGGCAAATTGAAGCTGGCCGAGATGCATCAATACATACAGTAGAGGCACATTCTTAGAGTCGTACGGAGCGTCCTTTCGTCAATTAAAGGCGATGGCAATGACGGTAGCTATAAGAGGCCTTCCTTATGTAATTCCTCCCTTAAACACTCCTCTTCCTCCATCTCCTCGTCCATCATATCAAAATCGGCTAGGGTCATCTTCATCCTCTGTATCCTCTTCTTTGTGACCGCGATGGGTTGAAGGCATCGTAATCCGCTGCGTATTCCACTGCGTAGCCTGCTGCGTGGCCTGATAACAGTGAATTGTGCCCTGCGTCTCGCCTGCGCCGGCAAGCTCATTGTCAGAGTCAGGCGTGCGGTGCCGCTGATATGCCCGTGGCATCTCTGTGCCTGGCTCGTATGAGTCGCCATTAGCGTAAATGTATTCCAACGCCTGCCTCGTCACATCGGCGGCGTTAACAGCGGTGCTGCTGCCCTGCCCTGCCTTTGCCGCCAGCCTTGCTGTCAGCCTCGTGTTTTTTCGTGCTTGTGAGTGCCGCCGGCGCTGTTGACAGCGGTGGCCTTATAGCCTCGGCACGCTCGATCCTCTCAACGATCTCATGTGCAGAGGGTTTACGCCTTGTGCTGCAGGCACCTTTCTCGAGGTTGGATGAGCCCTTTGGCCGGCCTTTACCGCGTACGGGTAGTGGATCGAGTGGAGCGTCGTTAGGCTCGAGCCCCGAAGCTGCCGCTCGCGATGCCAGAACTCGTCAACGTCGGTCATTTCGAAAGGAATAGCGCCACGGGCACCAACGCCGGCGCCACGGGCATCCTTGAGCCGCTTGAAGATATCGTGACGGCATGGCAAGCCAAGGCTGGACTTAAAGCTACAGTGATGGAGAGGATCACAACTGCCAGGCGGCGGCTGCTGTGCCCGGTCATCTGTAGCAACGTTTCTGCCCACAGCACGGAATTCGATCCCTATTTTCCGTACCGCCCAGGAAGAGAGATTTGGCCGGATTTTCGCAAAGATCGGCTGAAGGGTAGAAGTTGATACCTTATGTATAGCCGCCTGCTGTAAATTGAGGATCTCGTCTGACTGATGCTCCCAGAAGGCTTGGAAACGCTGCAAAACGGAGGTCAAATCACCTGTCGACGACCATAGGAACTTCTTCATCGTGGCATGCATGCCCTCAACGATAGAGGTCGTCGTATGGCCAAGATGACGGTGACGGTCAACGCAATATAACACAATTTTATCCTTCCAGAGCTTGAGCCATGTATTTACCGCATAATCCACTGCCGCCTTTGGGTGATGGTCTGGAGCCGTGAACGCCTGAAGTCGTATATCGTATGTAGCTTCATCAGGCGCGTTGATGAGCTCGTTCCACTCTTTCAGGAAGGCCGTGAATGTAGGGGCACGGATAACGCGGTTGCCGTCCTTTGTTGCCTTAGGAAAGTACTGCTTGCTTTGGGCAAGAACGTTCTTGTTGATATGCCAGCGGCATAATAAGTGAATTACTGGTGCAAGCTCTGAGAAGGAAACAAGGGCATTCATGAGGGCAAGCTCACGGTCAGTGACTATGACCCGAGGCAATGGAATGCCTTCCTCTGCTGCTAGGTCAAGTAGGCATTGCAGCGCCCAGCGGTATTGCGGCTCTGCCTCTCCGCTAAGGAAGACAGAGGCTACAGAGAAGGTCTTCTTTCTGAGGTTGATCCACACGTATTGAGAAGAGGCATCTTGAACCTATTGGTCTTGTACGTGCAGTCCAAAAGGAGAATATTTGGAAAACGCCGCCAAAGCTCAATGCCGGTGCGCGGTGCGATGAAGAGGCCGGTCAGCCGCCCTTCCTGGTCGCGTGTATCGCGGAAGAAGAAGCCGAGGATAAGTCCTTGAGCTGATCGTAGAGGAATTGAAGGGCGTGCGGCCAGCGAGCTCCCTGACGCGGTAGGCAGCAATAGCGTTGCGGATATGCTGCCCGTTATGAACTTAAGGTCGGGGTTCTTGATGAGGCTAGGCCGCGCAGGTGGGTAGCAATTTGGAACGGCTTGAGACCAGTATTATAGAGGCCAACGATATGACCGTGATGCTCGGCGATGAGCTCTGCGCGATAACCACTGTGCGTGACAGCAGGCGTAAAAGGGTGGTCGTGGTCGCGTGAGGAGGGAGACGGCACTGGGGTCCAGGCGCCACTAGTACGGCGCTTCTTAACGGTTAGGCGGAAGGGGCATCCTGACCTCTGCGTAGACTGATTAGGCCGGCTTTTCGTCTTGTGGGCGCCCGGGTCAGTGTTATCGCGATACTCGCCTGCCTTTGAGCAAGTCATATAGCAGGCGCTGGCCCTCCCCGATCGTATGACTAAGGCGAAGCCTTGGGCCTTGGCGACGGCGTGACAGGCAGCTTGGGCAGCCTCTTTGGTATCGAATTCGCGGTAATAAACCGACTCCATAATACTGGCGGTGGAAGCGACGCCGCTTGCAACACGTGGTGTTTTGAGGCAAAAATCGCACTAAGATGCGATACGTACTTCGCAGAGGTGGAAGAGCCAGTTCAAATTTGCGGTATCGGCGCTCCTGCGCCACCAAGCCACACCACTCCACTTTTTGCTGTGCACATAGCGTAACCTGTTGTGCATATAACTAGTCCCCATTTAAATGGTGTGCATTATTCAGCCCGAAGGGCGTTCTACTCAGTCAGAAAGATTCGAGCATAAAACCTCCTCTGATTGGCTAATTGGCCTGGCCCGTGCTCAACTCGTGCGCGGATTGGTCGACTGATATCGTCACCAAATGAAGGCCCGCAAAAACTACCCCTGAGCGTTGGATTAGGTAACTAGCTAGCTTGGCAAGCTCTTCAGGAGCTTTCAGTTCTTCCTTTCTTCCATGCCACTCAATTTGTTGCGTTGCTACAATTTGTTGTGTTGCTATGCACGATTTTGACTGAATAGCCCCCTTGCCCCTTACTCCTTACACTAACCTTCATAGCGGCTGCTCCCCTTTTCTGTCGAACCTGTCAAACTCATCAGTTTGCTAACGGTATCTAGATTCACACATGACCTCCGGCAGCCGGCCTACCTCTCAAGATTCCCTGGCTACCCTGTCTCCGGGAAGCAGTGCAGTTTCCTCCCTGATCATTCAGACCTGATCTAACTACCTGAAAGACAGCCTCCCTATCGAGATCTATCGCGGTATTACACGTAGGCCGTCGCAAAGCCTCCCTGCCCGAACGAAATCTAGCAGTTCAGGTGTTTAAGGTGGGATACATATACAGCCAGATGGAGGACGATATACCCCAGGCGGTTCGGAACTGCCATACCTGCAAGCAATACCTGCCCGAAGTCGAATTTCGAAGCGTCAAGGACCCTACGAAGTTTACAAGAGACTGTGCTAGCTGTAAGGCACGCCGAAAGGAACGGGTAACCGAATCTCGAGCCGCCGTTGCCGCAATGCGGAATATCGCCTTGAGGCTATCGCCAAGCAGAGCCAGAGCCAGGAAGAGGACGGATTCGCTAGCTAACCTGACGCCTCCAAAGCGGACTGCGCCAACGCCTGCGTCTGTGAACGGCCTACAACCTCCTGTCATGCCTGCTTTATTCCGTGGCCAGGCGCCTGCACTGGGACTGCCTATACCTTCGCTGGGGCCATCTACCCTAAGTGCTGTTGAGGACCTTCCCTATCCCTCCTACCCATGTCCTGCCAACAGTAGTTCTGGGCACGCCGATTCAAGACACTGCTTCTACGGCACCTGTTGTGCAAGGCACCCCCATACCACAGGAATCGCTTCCTACCACTCCTTCATTATTGCCACATGGTCATCGCCGCGGCCATTATACACGTCAAGGCACACAGCCTCAAGAGCGACAGTTTGATCAGAGTATTGACCCGCCTTTGACGGGGGACCTTAACTTGCCTGCCCTTAGTGAGGAAGATCAGGCCCTTGTGCGGGAGTTCTATACTGCCCTGAATGATGATGAGATGCATAGTTGCCTTCGTTGTCATGAGCGTTGGTTCGATATGAAGCGAAACAGCTTGAAAATCTGCAGCCGCTGCATTGGTCGAGACAGGAAGAAAGCCCTAACGAGCCCTACTTTTTAGCGCTGCGAATAACCTTGACTTTGGGGAAGTCCCCGGTGATCTACCCGATCTAACGATGGTCGAGGAGATGCTCATTGCTAGGGTTCACGTACACGTGAAGGTCCTGCAGGTACGTGGCGCTCAATATAAATATCGCGGTCACGTTGTCCACTTCCTTCGCAATGTTGGCAGGCTATTTGAAGAGCTCCCAGTCCTACCTGAAGAGCTGGATATCGTCCTCCTGCGGCCTCCTACTATGGAGGGCGACCCTCGCTTCTGGCAACAGTTTGCTCGCGATTTCCGGGTACGCCGCTCATGCCTGCTGGCCTGGCTGCATTACCTACAGTGTCACCACCCAGGCTATCGCGATATCGTCGTGAGCCAGAATCGCCTGCAACGGCTTCCTCTTGACGGCAGCATAGTTGCTTCCATTGCCAGCCAAGTGGCTGACATACCTGACGGCGAGGTCCCCCAAGGCCCCGTTGAAGAGGCTGTGGAAGAGGATCCTAGCGATGCCGACGCATCGGCGATCCCGAATTTGCAGGTTACCGATACCGAATTGAACGCACTGCAGTCCCGATTTCTTGACGGTTCCCCTGACCCTGAGCGTATGGCTGATCTGGAGTCCATGCCGCGTAGCGCGCAGGCTCGACACCAGATGCCACTGCCTTCCATTCGCAGGACCCCTATCGACGAATTCAACCGTTCCCAGCCGCTGTTAACGCTCGCATTCCCTACCCTCTACCCCGACGGCAAGGCCGACTTCGTGGAGCCTCGCCTACGGAGCATCACGTACCAGGACTACCTTGGCCATGCGATGAGATGGCAAGACGGACGTTTTGCCCGCCATAAGACGTGGCCTTTCGTCGCCCTCAACACGCTGTTACGTGCGCAGGTCCGAAAGCGAAGTGACTACTTCGTCAAGCAACGCGACAGCCGCCGTCAACCCCTTACACGCGCTGACCTAGAGGAAGCGATGGCTGAGCCTGACGAGCCGGAGGCTCAGGACCTGATCCAGTCGATCACGCGCCAAGCCGCGGTAATCAGGGGCACCCGGCCGTATTGGTATAAGCAAAGAAAGGAATTGGAAGCATATGCCTACAATCTGGGCAGACCTGGCCTTTTCGTTACTGCAAGTGCGGCCGATTACCACTGGGAGTCCCTATGGCCTATATCGTCACATGCCTCGATTCCAAGAGTGGAAAGCAGCTCCTGAGGCGGCGCGCATGGTCCTGTCCCGGCAACTACTGCGAGACAACGCCCACGTCGCCGCTTACCACTTCCATAAGCGTTATACGCTGTTTAGGACTATTGTCCTGAAGCAGAAGTTCAACCTAACGGACTTTTGGGGCCGTTACGAGTGGCAGGGCAGGGGTTCCAGTCACCACCACGGCCTATATTGGCTAAGTGGCCACCCAGACTTAGATGCTGACAACGATCAGTCCCGGGAGCAATTCGCCCGCATCTGGGGATATCACGTATCTGCTGTCAACCCAGAGCCTCAGCGAATACAGGCGCCTGGGGAAGGGAATCCTGATCGGCAATCTATTGGAGCAGCCCTTACGGTTCAGTTCCTATCAATGGTGGTCAACCGCGTGCAACGCCACCGCTGCAACAACTATCAGTCAATTCCCTTAGTGCAGGTTTGAAGCGGTTTAAACAGCTGGTTTGCGCGCGGCAGGCGAATGGGGGGTTCTAGGGGGTCTCCCCCTAGGAAAGTGAATTGCAGGTATACGATATTTACCCTTCGAGCTGGATATTCAGCCGTTAAGCCCCTTGCCTGGGCAACTTAACGGGTGTTCGAAGTATTTTAAAATGTCACTGTTCACGAGCTTCTTTAGTTTAGTTTTGTTACGGGGTCAGCACTGTTGGCACAGGTGCTGGGCGTAATTGATGTAAATTGAGCTACAAAGAGTGTAAAGGGGAGACGTGTCTACATCGCTCCCTTTAGGAGTCGTGTCCGTGGCGCTCGCACGTGACTAGTCTGGCCATGCCAGATCTACACATCGGGGCGTAGCCCCACATTAGCCCCTACTCCTCTCTGGCGCTGGTGCCCTTTTTCCTGTTCCTGGTCCCCTCTACAACGATCGTAGGGCCGTCGTCTATAGGGTCTGGTGCCGTTACTATCGACGGGGCATCGCCATTAGTCCTAGCCCGTAGTGGTCCGCGTATTCTCTTGCCCTGTATCTGCAGCTGTGGTTGTATTCCTTCGACTTGCCCTGGATTTGGGCCGGCTGTGCTTCCGTTGCCACTCGTCGGTGCTGGTATGGTCCATCGTTTTCGAGAGCCGGGCCGTATCTCTGTTCGTACTTATCCAAGGCCGCTGTCTGTTGCATATTGTCTAAAGAGGTCCAGGTCGGGTCTTGCCAACCTTGCCAGCGTACAAGGACTTCCGCCTACGGCCGCGGCCGGTTCTCTTCCACCTAGCGCATAGTATTTCCTCTACTACTTGGTGAGCCTCCCGTCTACTTGGATAGATGGGGTTGAGCGTCTGTGCGTTGCTGACCAGGCATTGGGTCCGTCCCCGCTCTCCGGAGTTGGTCGACGTGGAACCTATTATAGCAGCCCCTCGGGAGGTCTGCTAGTTCAACCGTGTACGGGTCGAGTACCTTGCTTATCGTATACTTAGCGTGCAGCCAGTCGAACTTCTTCTTAGGTCGCTCTGACGCGTAGTTCCGTAAGTCAAGCCAAACCTTATCGCCTACTTCGAAGCGTTCTGCCGCGTTCCGTCGTCTGTTAGCGAAGCGTTCTTGTTGCTGCGTAGCTGTCGCCATTGATGCTTGGCAGAGGTCCGTAATCTGTTGTAGTTTGGTAACAAATTTCTTTGCCCTGGTTTCTGGCGAATGCTGAGGATACTCTTCCGCATATGCTTCCGTAACGAGGGGAACTGGTGACTTCGGCTCATAGCCGTGTATAGCGAAGAATGGGGACATCCCTATAGAGGTATTGACCCGACCGTTTAACGCCATCTGAGCCGCGGGAACCCACTTATCCCAGTCGTTCTGGTTCTGGTTAATCACGGCGCGGAGGTATGCCTGTACTTCTTGGTTCATCCTCTCAGGGCCTCCGTCGGTTTGGGGGTGGTACGCCGTGCTTAGCTGCTGGTCGATCCCCAGTAACTTGCACATGTGCCTCCAAAGCGGCCTACCCAATTCGAGCCCCTATCGCTCGTTATAGCGTCGGGCCACCAGTGGTAGCGGGCGAAGCACCATAGAAAACGCTCTGCACATGCTTCCGCTTCCATCGTTGGCATCGGTTCGAGTATAACTTCCTTACTTAGCCGGTCCTTGATAACCCAGAGGCAGCGGTTACCGTTCGCAAGGGGAGGTCCGTAATAAAGTCCATCTGTATCTGGCGGAAGAAGCGGTCCGGTACGGGTAGCGGTCTAAGTAGACCCCTTTTATGCTCGCGCCATATCTTCGTACGGCCGCAGACATCGCAGTTACGCAAGAAACGTCGGATATGTTGTTGCATTAGCGGCCAGTAGAAGTCCCTGGATACGGCTTCTATCGTCCCTTCCCGTCCCGGGTGGCCTACTACATGGGAGTCATGAACCTTCTGGGTTAAGGAGCCCCGTAATTCGTTTAGCGACTCCTGCTCTAGCGGTGCTGCCTTGGCTGCTGCTTCTGTCGTGATCGGTGCGCCTGGCACCCATAAGCGGCCACGTAGTCGTAGGTGCCCCGAGGATCAATAAAGCACTCGGCGACTTGTACCTTCAGCTTAAGCTTGGGGTCGAGGACCGAGATCCGTTTCGTACCGCGTTATAAACGCTTGTAAAGACTGGATCCTGGTTTGCCGTTTGCTGCCATAATTGTTGTAGCTCTGGGTCGTGGAAAATCGTGTGTTCTTCTTCGCCTTCTCCCCCTGAGTCGACGTTACTCCGACGTAGGTACGTAGGGCTGCTTCTGGAATAAGCTGCATATCTCGTGCTTCGTGATCCGCTTCGTTTGGTCGGTCCTGTTCGCGGCGAGAGAGCGCGTCTGGCACCACTGCTTCCGTCCCGGACGGTACTGGAGCTGGAAGTTAAAACGCGAGAGATATTCAGCCCAACGTGCCTGCCTTTCCGAGAGCTGTTGGCGCGTCATGAAATACTCGAGGTTCTTATGGTCGGTAAGGATAACGAAGTTATCACAGCTTCGTAGCTCGGCTGACCATTGTTCGAGACAACGAATAATAGCGAGCATTTCCTTATCATGGATTGGGTAGTTGCGCTCAGCCGGTGATAGCTTCTGCGAGTGGAACGCTACTGGCTTGCGTTGTCCGTCGACTTCCTGCGTAAGTGTGCCCCCAAGCGCCCAGCCGCTACAGTCTGCTTCTACGAAGGTTGGCCTCTCGAAATCCCATTGAGTAAGAATAGGGGCGTTCGTAAATAGCGTCTTTAGTGTCTGGAACGCCATATCGTGCTCGTCCGTCCACTTGAACTTAGTCCCCTTTCCTGTTAGTGCTGTTAGGGTGCAGTTATTTCCGAGGCTTGCGGTATAAATATCCGGTAGTAGTTAACGAATCCTAGAAAACTGCGCACCCCTTCTGGGTAACGGGGACTGCCCACTCGACTATTGCTCGTATCTTGTCGGGATCTGCCTGAATGCCAATTCCTGCGTGAATAATGAATCCTAGGTACTTAATCCGCTTGACTCCAAATTCGCATTTCTCCGGGTCTAGGTGTAGTCCATGCTCGGCGAGGCGTTCTAAAACTAACCGTACCTTCCGGAAATGGTCTTCTCTGCTCCCGCTCGAATAGATAAGTATATCGTCCATATAAGCAGAGGCGAACTCGTCGAGGTAGTCTCGTAGGATACCGTTAATATACCGCTGGAAGGTTGCTGGCGCGCCACTTAGCCCGAACGGGGTAACCATCCATTCGAAGAGACCGTACCGGGTGCGGAACGCTGTCTTCCACTCGTCTCCTTCTGCAACCCGTACTTTATGGAACGCTTGTACCACGTCGACCTTAGTGAACCACTTCGCATCTTTTAGGTTGCGAAGTGTGTCCCTATTAGAGGAAGGGGTAACGGTCCGACTTAGTGATTGCGTTCAACGCTCTGTAGTCACAACAGAATCGCAGCCCGCCACCTGGTTTCCTCACAAACAGGACTGGAGCTGCTGCTTCTGAACTGCTTGCACGGATAAATCCTTTATCCACTAGGTCTCGTAGAGTCTTCTTAAGAACCAGGAGTTCCTCTCGTGACATACCGTATAGTGCTCCATACGGTAGTGGTAACTGCTGGCCATTCGGGTCCTCCTTGATTCTGATTTCGTGGTCTATGCCTGGCTTATGAGGATTCAGCTTATCAGCTTCCTTCTTCATAAATAGAGGCAGTAAATCGTGGAACCGCTGGGGTATCGTTCGGCGTAGCTCTGCTTCTGACATGGGTTTCTTTGGTGATAACGCCCTTTCGATATCCTTCATGCTGATAGCGAAAATCGCCGTGGCAGCTGCCTCTCTTCCTTCCTGCTTGCGGATCCTTTCAAAGTAACCCACAAAGGTACTGGCTAGTACGTGCTTTGCTTCTTCGAACTCCTTGGCTTTCGCAGAATATTCTCCTTCCCCGAGGTGATCTACCCAGTCTTGTGTAGGTTCATGCCATAGTCGTTTCTCGTGGGGCACTGAGTACGACTTTGTGTGGCATAACCAGGGTTTTCCTAGGATTAGGGAATTCCAATCAGGGCACCACGTAGGCACAGATCGTCTGTATGTGGCCGTTGACCTCCATTGATAGCCATACGAGGCCCCTAATCGTTGCTCCTTCCATTGCCCCTGATGCTCCTGTAATAGCTCGCGGTGCTATTTCCACTATAGGAACTTCCAACTTCTCGACGACTTCTTCGTCAACCGCGGCGTAGCACTGGCATCCCTCGTCTACGAGTGAGGAGAAGAGATTGGTCCTATTGATAATGCTTCGAATTATTGTAGGACCAACTTCCATTTTTCCTGAGAACTTCTCTTCTTTGCCACTGCTCCGTTCTTTGGCCTCGAGACCCGTCTTTGTTTCGAGGCTACGCATTTCCGAGAGGGATGGGGTCTCGCTAAGTCCTGACTCTTCCTCACTAGAGTCGTTACCATCATCTTCCAGCAAGGGCATGATCCTAGCGGTGCGGACTTTTACATCCCTCGACCGGCTAGGGTCCTGTCCTGGCGAGTAGGGCAAGCGGCAATGAAATGGGTGTTGTCGCCGCAGCGGAGACAACGACCCTCGTCACGGCGTTTATTCCGTTCGTCCTCGGATACCCACCTCGCCCGTTGCTTCCGTCCTGACCTAGGCTGGAAGCGAACCGTCTTGCTCGTTCCACTTGACCCCTGGCCGTTCGCCCGTCCTCTCTGACCCTGCCCTGAGTGCGTGTAACCGTCATTATTACGTCGCCGTCATGGTCGCGTGCGTCACGTGCGTTCTGCTCGGCGGGTAACGTTGCTGACGGTGCCGGGGTGTTGTCGTTACCGGCGACCTGGATGTTGCCGATGCCTGATGCCTGCCCTTGGTCACGTTGCCCGCGGGAGCCCTGCTTCCTCTGCAACGCCTTAAACTTCGCGGTGTGCTCGAACGCCCAAGCAATCGGGTGTAGACGTTGGATGTACTCGTTGTAGTCCTTCGGCATGATAACCGGGACTAGTTGCTCACGGAGAGCAGGAGAGATCGAGTTCCGTAGCCATGCGAGCTTGGAAGCATTATCCCAGCTCGCGCCGCCCGCTTTGGTCAATGTTTCCTCGAATTCAGGGAGGAACTTCCCAAACTCTTGGCTGTCTCGTTGAATGAGGGTGCGCAGCCTGTCTTGCGCCCTCTCTGTCTGCTGCACGCTGCCGAACGTCTGGGCTAGGTGCGAGAAGAATTTCCGGGGGTCTGGGTTGCCCTTCGCGCTCTCTTGCCTCCAAAAACCCTCGACTCTCCTCATCATCTGATCCGGCAAGGTCTGCAGGATCTCGTACCACACGACGTTGTTATTGCCGTTTAGGCCCTCCTCTTCGTCGGTATTGTACTTAAATACCAGACGGTCGAGGTAGAAGTGGAAGGACTCGGGTTGACCGTTCCACTTCGGCCAAGTCATCGGCTTGCGCTTCTTGCCACGGTCCATTTCCTGGGCTGCTTCCGGCCTCGGTTCGACGGGTAAGATCGCCGGGGTACTGAGCACCCCCGGGCTGGGTGTCAACGGTGGCGCTGCTAGGCCTAGCCCGGTGAACATCTTCCGCAGTTCTTCGTCTCCCGCGATCCCAGATAAGATCTGCAAGAGCTCTTGCTCCTTCCCTCCATCGGCTCGTTGCGCCGCCGGTCGCGGTGCCCCTGCATAACTACTATTGTCCTCCATCTTGTTCGTCCGTCTCGTCGTCCGATCGATCGTCCGTCTCGTCGTTTAGCCTATCGCCTGTCTTGCTGTCTGTCCTGCTGACTGTCCTGCTGTCTGTCCTGCTGTCTGTCCTGCTGTCTGTCCTGCTGTCTGTCCTTCTGTCTGTCCTGTCTTTTGTTAACTGGTAGCTCAATATGTTACGGGTCAGCACTGTTGGCACAGGTGCTGGGCGTAATTGATGTAAATTGAGCTACAAAGAGTGTAAAGGGGAGACGTGTCTACATCGCTCCCTTTAGGAGTCGTGTCCGTGGCGCTCGCACGTGACTAGTCTGGCCATGCCAGATCTACACATCGGGGCGTAGCCCCTTACAAGTTTAGTGTATTTTCCGTCCAGCAACTTTTGGTCGCTCAGGTCTCCGCAGGGGAGCACAGGACGTGCTGAGCTAGCAGGTGTCTACATGCTACATATCGTACACTTCACCCACTATCCAGCATTTCATCGGCTCAACGGCGCTCATGACAAACCTGTTGCCCGTCAGCGGGACGTCCAGGCACGAAGAGAAAGCTGTCCCGTGGTCAGATCAGCCAATTTGCTTCTGGGGCCTTGCAGCCCTTGATGACCTCGGCGATCGCATGGTCGTGAGACCTTGACGCCGCCCGAGATCGGAGCAGGTAACAGAAAGAATTGAGAGGAAAAGGTAGGGTGAGAGAGGAGAATGATGACCGTCTAGTGGCGTGGGCAGATCCCTCCGAAGAAGGAGCTCGCTGTCGCCAGCCTGACGAATTTGTCAAAGTCCTTGCCGATTGCGCGGTTGATGGCTGCAGCCGGCCAAGGTGCAAGCCGCATACGATGCCGTGGCGCAACCTTTCTGCAGTAAAAGATGTGTGCTGGCTCTTCGTCGTCCGCACGAGCACGTCAGTCGCGCATCGTCGTGACCAAACCTTTCGTGGTAGTCAGCAAAATCCCCATGGTGGGTTCTTGCTGCAAGCAGTTATGAAGCAGGGGCCGAGAGAGCGCCAATTCTGACGGACAGCTGGTTGTTGCTTTAAGCCTCAGGTCTCTGTATCGCTCCGGCGCAGAGGTTTCCACCAGGCACTGAAAGCCTCTTTCCGCTGCAGTCGGGCAATTTTTCGCAGATGCGCTAGCGTCGGTTCGCCATCAGCGGGTTCTGGCAGTGATGCTCCCGCCTTTGCCAGAGCATCAGCCTCCTCGTTGCCTGGGATGTCAGCATGGCCGGGGATCCAATGGACCTCCACAGCTCCGTATTTCGCGCCAAAGATTGGAACTCAAGGAAGACCTCTTGCGAGGAGTCGTTCGGCGTGCCCCGTAAGCATGTTGCGGTCGCGAGGTTGTCGAGGCAGACAAAGATGCGGTCAGTTTCTGGAAGGCTCACCGCTGCCTTCAACCTCCAATGCACCTTTCGCCTCAGCGTCGAAAACCTCAGCTGTTCCAAGACGGCCCTTGCCGCTCAAGACGGTGGATCCGTCCCGGTGAACAGCATAGCCGTATCCGATGTGGCCTTCCTCAGAACGAGACCCGTCGGAGTAGACGACAAGAGTTCGGGGCGATAGTGCCTGAAGCCAGTCGCGAAATTTTTTCGCCGTCTCGTGTTTCGATGCACTCTGCAGAGGCGCAGTCTGCTCTTCGGCAAATCCGCGCTGCAGTAAAGCAGGTCTCGGGCAGCTCGATAGCATTTCGTCGGCTCGCCGCAGTCTGGTACGGAAGGGCTGTGGCTGTTTCTGGTACTTCAACTTGATAAGTTTGTTCACGGTCACGACGGGAGCTTTTGGTCGCGACGTGCGCTGGACGAGCGGGTGAGCTTCGTCGAGAGCTTTAAGGCGCGCAGCAAAGGCCGTCCGACGCCCTTCGAGGAGTAGAGGAACGGGCGGTATTCCCGCCTCGTGTGCAGCACGTTCGTCGGTGTCGTCCTCCACACTGGCAGAATAGCCCGAAGAGACGTGTAGAGTGCCTTGCTCATCTTCTTGACGAGGTTGCCAATCCCCGACGGCCCCTCCTTGGAAGGCTTCGTCCAGCGCGGGCTTTTCGGACCAGGGTACCAGGCCTCCGCCGCGTACAGTAGCACGGGGATGACGCAAGCGCAGACGGCTCGTCGCATAGCACTCGGCAGAGGGCCATGTTTCGTGTTCGTCAGTCTCCTAAGATGAAAGGCAACAGCTTGCGCCTTGGCCGTCCATTTCTCGACGTGTGTCTTGAAAGAGAGAGAGCTGTCGAGCCAAACGCCGAGCCAACGCATCGCTCGATCCGGCCGTTTCTCAAACTCGCCGTGGAGCACCGGCGGCGCCGTCTTGGGCTTCGTTCGAGAGAAGTGCATCACTTCTGTCTTGTCGGGGTCGAAAGAGATCCCGTTAGCGGCGCCCCACGAAAGAAGCTCACGTACATGGTGAGATGCTTCGGCGGTCGTTTCATCAAGGCTATTACCGACGCATAGAATGGCAGTGTCGTCCGCGTAGCCGAAGCGTCCCTGAGAGTGACCTAGGCGATATATCGGCTCCGTGTACAACAGGAAGAGGATGGGCGAGACGGGCGACCCTGCGGCAGACCGCACTGGAGGGCGATGAATCCGTCACGATGTCTTGATAGCGGATGCGTGCCGATCTGTCCTGCATGAACGAGCCGGCCCAGCGCGCGAGGTTCGATGGCCATCCTTGTTCTCGTAAGCGGAGGACCAATCTATTGCAGATAACTGTATCGAAGGCGCCTTGTATATCCAAGGTCACCAGGGTTGCGACTTGCTTCCGGGCGAATGCCTCCTCGATGTCGTGAACCAAGGCAGCTACGAGATCCACGGCCGACCTCTTCGGGAGCGCGCCGGCTTGTTGTGGGTGTAGTACGCCGAAGTGGATTGAGCCCCACGCTAGACGCCGTGCAATGAGCCGCTCGAGGCCCTTGCCGAGACAAGACAAAAGGGAGATGGGGCGCCAGGCGCGGGGTGTAGACAGATCTCTGCGTCCTAGCTTGGCGATCATAACCACTTCTGCCTCCCGAAAAGGTTTCGGATGGTGACCAATGGTGAGGCAGCCTTGATACAGCTGATGGACGAGACTGCCGATTGCATGCCAGACAGCGCGAAGCATCCGCACCGTGATGTTGTCCGAGCCTGGAGACGTGTTCCCGGTGCGTAGAGTGGCGTCGCGAGCCTCCTCGAAGGAGACCTGATTGGGAAGGAATCATCTTATCCGTGTTCACGGGAATCCACGGGTCTGGGATGTCGTCGCTCGCTGTGCGCCGCTCCAGGTTGCTCGCCGCAAGGCGGTGGCTTTCTCCAGCTGCGTCTCGTACACTCGGCCGTCTACTTGCAGGAGGTGCCTGGCACGGCCCTGAGGATTTTAGCCAGCGGACCGCCCGAAAGACGGAGTCGCCGTCGGCAAAGCTGTCGATCAAGTCACGCCAGTAAAGGCGTTTTGCTCGGCGCACTGCATTGTGAAGCTCCCGCTTGGCTAGCTGCACTTCTCGGTCGAAGCCGAGAGGATACACCCTCCTCCACGCGCGATAATTGGCCGCCGCCTTTGCGCACTCTTCGTTCCACCACCGCGCCCCATGCGTCATCTTACGGACGGGTCGGCCCGCAGCTCTCGCTGCACAACCAAGAAGGTCCACCAGCGCCGACGCAAAGTTGTCCAGCTCGGAGGGAGTTGAGGTTGTAGTCGGGATGAAAGCTGCACCGGCTTCTACCAGCTCGACAAATCGCTTCAATTCCTCATCGGAGTTGAGGCGGATCTTGCATAATGGAAGGGTGCTAGGGCTTGACTAGGCAGCGTGATACTAAGGTAAAGTGGTCGGACCCGGTTGCTAAATGATCCTCAACAACCGCGTCCGCCAAAGGTATATTGGAGAAGGCGAGATCGATCGTGCTGCCGCGCGCGTTAGTCGGGACATCGACAGCATTCAATAAGCTGAGTCGGTTATCCATGGCCCAGAACGCGATGTCTTCACCGCGGTGCTCTTGTCGACCGGCCTGCCAGCTGGGATGCTTGGCGTTGAAGTCGCCAGATACAAGGCATTTATCCGTCGCGCACCAGCCAAGCAGTATTTCCAAAGCCGCGTCGTAGTCCGGCTGCCGATAGAAGTTAACTACCGTCGTCCCGTTCACGGTGAGCCAAAGGATGTCACGAGTCGCCACAGGTCTCTTTTGATCAGCGACGAGGCCTGCGGAGCGCCGGACGTATGTCATGACTCTCGGACGAGTGTCGCGGCCGTCCCAGTCGGTGACGGGTGAGAATGTGTCGTAGGCCGGATGCGTCTTGGTGAGGCATCGGCCGTCTTTAAGTCCTGTCCATGGTTCCTGCAGCAGGATAATGTCGTATCGCTCCGAATCAGCCAGCGCGAGCGCAGTGTCATGCGCCGGAGGGATCTTGCCCACGTTGGCTTGGAAGACTCGCAAGGCCCTCCTGTCGCTTCGATTGTTGGGATGACGGCGATGCATTAGGGCAGCGTCACAGGGCTAGTGCGTCGTTTCTTCGACGGGACGACAGGGGTGAACTGGTTGTCATCGCTAGCGTGCGGGGCGTCGTGGCCACGACAATGCAAGGGGTGAGAAGCGGCTCGCTCTGGGTGGCGCTTCTGCCGGAGCTTCCATCCTCTCCAGCTGCCTGCGACTCCGAAGAACGTAACTGACTCGAATCAGGGCTCTGACAAGACTGCTCGGGCACGTTGTGGTTTGGTGTCTGTCTTTTCTGCTGCGCGAAGAGCTGAGCTCCCGCCTGCCTCACCAGACCCTTCTCCTCTTTCGTCAGGCGCCGTACAATGCCATGAACGCGCTTGGGGCGGGCAGGGCATTTAGGATCGTCAGCGCAATGTGGCCCGAGGCAGTTTGCGCACTGCTCTAGGGCTGCGCACTCTTGGCTACGATGGTTGGTCTTGCCGCAACGTCTGCAGCGCGCCATCCGGTCGCAGCTGTGGCGAGCGTGGAAATCCCAGCATTTGTCGCATTGGCTAGGGATGCTGGGTTTGTCAATGTAACGGGCGAGACGGCTGGCGCCGAAAAGTCTCCAGGGTCTTCGTGTGGGTTCCAGGAAGGACACAATCAGGGTCTGGGTGGGCATATCACCCGAGTCGTGTCGCGATAGACGTATGCTGATGGGCTTCAGTCCGGTTTGGCAGGCAATCTCTTCTTTGACCGCCTCCTCGTAGTTGATCACGACACCTCGTAGGTCTGTGAGCCTACGAGGACAATCGGCTACCACGTACGAATGCCATTTCTGGCTTATCTCTACGGCCGCGGCTTCCAGGTCTGCAGCCCACTCCGCCTGCCGTTGCACAAGTAAGTCACGCGTGGCCACATCCGATGCCTGGATGGCCCAGCCCGTGTTTACCGGGAAGGCTGCCGGAATGCGGCGCAGGTCAATACCGACTCTAGCGGCGATGTGGGTCCGGATTGCGTATCTTTCGTGGTTTCGGGCCGGAGCGTCAGCGTCAAGTCGGACGAAGACACGGAGGTCTTCCTTCGGTGGGGCTACGGGCGGTCGTCCTGGCAGACGAGTGGTGGTCTGTGGTTTTCGCTGTGGTGGGGCGGAGGCTGTAAAGGCCAGCTGTCCTTGCTTCGGCTTGCCGGATGCGAGAACGCTGCTGTACGTGGGCTTCGGTGGTTCTTCGAGTTCGGCAAGCGATTGAGTCCAGAATTTGAGAAATTTGGTGGCGACTTGCTTGGCGATGCTGTTTTCGGTGCCAGACGTGAACTGCTTTGCTGCTTGTTCGAATGATTCGCTAAAGACCCGTAAGACTGCCAGCTTGGCGTTATGGGCTGCCGTTTTGTCGCGAGCAATTTTCGTGGCCGCTTCGAGGATTGAGACTGGCGCGTGCTCAGTGGGCTGGGCCGAGTCGAAGAGATTCGGGCCTTCTTCCAGCTGCGCTCCTTCCGTGACGGCAGCTTCAGGCGTTTCGGTGGACGAGATTGACTGGGCCAGCTGCTGGGCCGCGGAAAACGAGTCGTTTCGGCGAGCTTCCGTCGGGTAGCGAGGTCGGAGATGCGATATGTGAGCCGCCGGATTTGGCGGCGATCGTATGCCTGTCTCGAGGCATTGGAGTCGACATGCGAACCTGAGGCTGGTGCCATGGTCGCTGCCGGCGCTTGCGCGCGGCTCAATTGGAGTTTTGTCAAGAGCACTTGTTAAGCGAAAGTATGTGAGAATAGGCTACTTTCTTAACACTTGCGTGCCAAGAAAGTAAAAATACAAGGAAGGATGTTCATAAGCTTCCCGGTGTTTTTGATGCTCCCTATAGGGTGGCAAGATTGGCGAAACGGTGGGGCGTATCAGGCACTGTTAGGGCAGTTATACCAAAATACATGGCCGCCCTAACTACCCCACTTCCAATACATTCAGACTTTGCGAACTGGAGTGTGGACGGAAGATTTTTTTTTCGCCTTATATTTCGACTATATCGCCATTCATTCATAATTTGCATGAATGAATTGAATGAAGACTCCTGATTTTTTATTCGTCGAATTTGAAGACCTTGCCCGATTCGGCTTCATTCAATTCAAGGGTCCTGAGGCCGATTCGACTTCAAAATCTTCAAATATCAGCCCTACTGAATCATCCGCCAACCACTCACTTGAGTTCACCATTATTCCGCCATAGGATAGAGCCGCTACTAGATGTCCAAAGGCACATGTTCAAAGGCTCATACCGGCGGCACAATCACAACCGCGGCCAGCCAAGTCCCTGCGAGCAGAGTCCCCCTGCCTGGCCGACCCCTGCCAGAAGTATCGCTTCCCAGAAAATGAGGCAATGACAACGACAATAACGACGACTTCGAAAGCGGTGTCGATACTCAGGCTGACAACCCGAGGGCACGACCCCATCTAAGCTTGAAAGTTCTCACAGGACGACAGCCTCGCACAAGCCAGCAAGCGTCAGGCAGTTGTATTCACCGGCGAACGACGATGACACCTCGCGCGAGCCCAGCTGCGTTTCCACTACAAGCGGAGACATGGGAGGCGTTACAATGACTGCCTGGCGGGGCTATAGAGCTTTCAACCGATCAGCGGGAGCAATATTTGCCTTTACAAGTTCCATTATACGTGCTATCTCGCACTGAATGATCGCCTCTTCATTACGCCTGTTGGCCCTAACGGGGCAAGTATCTCTCGATACTGGCATGGGTGCAGAGGAGCACGCAGGCCATTGGACCATAGACCGGCCGCCACGTCTGGGAAACGACTTCATCCACTGATCCATCATCAGTCAGATTGATACCGCTTCACAAAGCCGCAGACGCTTCTGATTGGAGCACATTGTCACCTCATCGTACATCTCGGCCCGGAGGCTTGCTAGGCGGAGCCTACGGCGGTATGGCGGCGAGCCAGTCGTGGACAGCAGTCAGTGCGGCGGGTGGAGGGCTGCCAGCTCAAAGGTCTGCTCGGCGATGAATTGCGACGTGACGGCGCGGTCTAGAGCTAGCCTCTAGATGGTAGCCAGATACGCCGGACGGAGAATGGCTTGGGCTTCTGGATTTGCGTCTCGTATCACACCGTTTCCGGGCTGCCCACAGCGACTCGCATACCCGCAGGAGAACGAAAATAGGCGGAGGTGCCCCCTAACCACATACATGGCGAAGTTCCATTGCGCCGACATCACAGGAACGACATCCGTGTAGGAGAAGATCACGAGATGTCCTTACGCGAGGGTTTGCCTATAAAGACCATACATTCCGACTCCATGTGTCTTCGTCTCCTCATCCTACCTCTACACTATCCTCGTCACGTATTTCCATCCTTCTCCACACTCTCCCCGTCCACAGCGCCATGGCAAGTAAAGAAGCAAATAGCGACCAACTCACCGGCTGGTCAGCCTGGGGCGGAGAGGGTCAATCCGGGCCGAAATATATTCGCGAATACAATGTCGACGACTCCAGTTGTGATCCCGTTTTCGAAGGTCACATCGAATTGGAAGAACTTACCTATGTGAACGAGGCACTTAAATCCTGCAACATGCCAGCAGACAGTGGAATCGATCATGTCGGCTGTAATGAAACTGCCGCTGCGAGCACTACTTGTACATGTGGCAGCCTCTTTGCTGTGACGGACCGCAAGATCAGAGACCTTTGCTACAACGAGCACTGCGAAATTCGAAATCAGCTGGCCGACATCAGCTCTCGTCTCGGCGCCTTAGAAGCTCAACTTGCCAATACCAAACCCGTCTGTCAGGAGTGCCACAGCACCAAGGATCGCAAACGGCATGCCAAACAGGACCCGCAGCAGCAGCGAGACCAGCCACCTCATGGGCCCGCAGAGCAGGCGCTGGATGACGAACCACGCGCGCGTCGCCGAAGCGGTGGAAGGCATCGGAAGACTTGCCCAGAGGGGCGAGCGGAGCCGCGAAAACAGTGAACAAAGTCAAGCTCTCACGGGTCTGGCTCGGAAATAACCAAGGGAGTGCCCGCCATGAGTATACGTTGAAAGGCCCAAGAGAGCATGGTGGAGGGGCCGGAGGGCTCTGGAGGTCTGAAACAATCGGGGCCGATACCACGCTGGAAGGAGTACATTTTGCGCTGATGACGGACGTTCTTTTTCTTGAAGTCGAGATTAACGGCGGCAGCCACTTTCCCATAACGCTGCAATGGAATGACGAGACCGAAGCCTTCGAGGGGCAGGATATGCTGAGGGAAATGAATCTCCTCATCGGTTACGACGAGATGTTTGAGATGCTCTGCAACCCCTATCAGGCGTGTAGGGATTGGCGGGTTTGTCAAGTATGAGTACAACGGATCACAATAGTCTGCTAGAGCCTAGTCGTACTGCACGGTTTGCAACGAGACGCAGCATTTGTTGCAGATACGAGTGGGATACTACTTTCTGGAAATAGCGCTGGGGCAGAGATCAAGTGACAATATACATGCGCCGGTTGCCGTGAAGCCGTTTTGGGTTGGCACAGGATGCCAAGGAGGTCGCATTCGAGCGTCCAGCCGTGAACATGTTTTGCCGTTCATGGCTATTGCGTTGCGAGGTCAGTAGTCCCACCCTAACCTTCGAACTAGAGGTGCCGAATCCAGTCACGACAAATAACTTGGCAAGGCAGAATGGGTACTTATGTCGCAAGGGCTGTCAGCCGCAGCGACGAGATTCACGACGTCGTCATTAGACGGAGCAACCCACCCGCATGCTACAAGTCTGAGTTCGCCTCGAGGGCCATAGATTCAGTGGAAATGGAGCAGGGAGGACATCGTTTATAAGTTGGATTACGACTCCCTCCGCTCATCCCAGAGCTTGTGCTAAGACTCATTCCGTCATACATTCGCCATCCTCTGGTTGAACAGCCCTGTGTTACGGTATCCACCTCCACATACCTTACGGTATCCACTTCCACATACCGTTACGTATATAGACCGCTTCCTCCTTTTCTTCAGTTCCTCTTCCTCTTCCCTTCTTCCTTAAGAAGTCGATAATTAACTATTCTTCCAAGTCCCTTCTGGTTATCCATATCGGCCTTGATCGTAACATATTATCGACTTCTTCACTTCCGATGGAGCGATATCTATCCTCCTTTTGAACACCTTTTCCCTTCCAGCGGCACCCGCGACGTCTCGCATATTGCCCTGAATTTCAGTTACTTCTGGCATTGACTTTACTGAAACCTTGATACTTTTCTGGACGACTCTGATCACGAGTTCTCTGCCGCTCGGCTGCCTCGCTTTTCTTCCTCGCCACCCGTGACGCCCTTATCAGGCGCACCTGCACCGCCAGTCTTCACCAGTCGCCACAGTTGCGCTGCCTTCCACGGACCGACACGCACTCCCCGACGTTATCACCACTATCGGCAACTTTCTCAACATCATGTCCCAAACCAGTAATACCCCTGACGGCACAGCCTTCTCCGCCCCACCGCCCGTACTACCTACCTCTTATGACCCCAGTCGTCCCAAGGTTCGGCTTCCGAAATGGAACGGAAATCTCGCCGAATTCGACATCTATTCCTCGGCTTGATGAACATCCTGCCAACCCTCCACAAAAGAATCAGCTCGGAGATGAGCGTACCATCTGCATCACTATCTTCACCGAGTTACCCCCGAATGGCGCCAACCGGACCAAGGCTTGGATGAAATTGCGCCACACGGACGGCGCCTGGGATTCTGACAACCTCCTCAAGCACCTTAACGAGTCGTTCGAAGACAAAGACTCCACCCAACGCGCAGCCCGACGTCTGTATGCGGTCCGCCAGGAGTGGCCCAGCCGTTTGCCCAGTATCGCCATGTCTTCGAGACATACTGCGCCGACGCCGACATCCTTGCCCCTACCGGCGCCGCCAAAGTCAACACTTTGCTCCGCGGACTTTCTTCGTACCTCCGGGATGCCCTCGCCCTCCAGTTGGGCGTGTCATCTACCGATTACAACAGCTTTGTCACCATTGCCCAGGCTCTCGCCACCCAGTTAGAAGCACTGCCCCGATTTCAAGCCAACGCCAACGTTCAGAACCAGGTCGAATGGTATGACTCTTCCATCACCGTGGATCTCCTGCCAACCGCACCAACGGCCCCACGTCCCAAGCACCTATCCGCACCCCGGCCACCCAGACCCAAGTTGACCAAGACGGTGACACCATGATCAGCGAGGTCAACCAAATCAAGACCAACTCCTCCGCCGACCTTGTCTCTATTGTTCAAACTATAGTGGCCGCACTGGCTGGACAACAACAAAATGGGTCTAACAGGTCCTCGTCCAACAACAACGGTTCGGGCCGCAGCAAGTATACCGAGGACTCTCGCCCTCGGGCTCCGTGGGTCGACCAAACCACGCGTGACCGCCGTTCCGAGAACCGCCAGTGTGTTCGCTGTGGCAAGACTCCCTCTCATCGCTTCAGAGAATGTGAATACAAGAGCTTTCCACCCAACGCCCCTGCCGGTGTCAACGGCGTCAACACGAAGGCGGAAAACGAGTAGCCCCTGAGAAAAATCGTGCTCAGGGGCGTGATGAAAAGGATGTTTTCGGTGAAGACCTCACAAAGGGCCTACGGAGAAGGATATAAAGTTAGCAAAGGACGGCTAGACAACACGCCGTTCTTGTTCGATGTGCTTATCAACAACACCTCGTATATCAAAGCTTTCTTCGACTCCGGATGTCTCCCATATGCAGCTTTCAGTGAGGAATTTGTCAGAAAACACCACATCCCACGTATCCCAGTCGAGAAGCGCCTTCTCAAACTCGCCAAGCAAGACGAAATACAACACGCCATCACCGACATGGCTTTTATCACCATGGATATCGACGGCCGCGCAGAGCGTCTCTACGGCTATGTGATCCCAGGCCTTGAATTCGATCTAATCCTTGGAAAGGGTTGGGCGGAACGAAATGACGTCGTATACAAAGCTGGAAAGCGCTTCTTGCAAATCGGCCGCGGCAACAGTCGCGTGAAGGTTCGTGAGAGTGGCTGGATGGACAAGCAACAGGTCATCGATCGTACCAAAGACCTGCGTGACGCGAGACTCGTTTCCGCCAGCGTCTTCATGGCGACAACGAAGCGCATGCGCCGCCTCAAGAAAGACGCCCACCTTTTCTCAGTTACCATCGCCGACATCAACAAAGCTCTCGCCAAGCTCAGCGAGAAGAAAGCGAAACCGACCCTTGAACAACTCCAGCAAGACGGCCGAATCCACAAGAGATCAAAGATGTAGCTGGCGATTTCCTAGACGACGACGACGTCGATATCACACCACCGCACAGAGATATCTGGGATCATGCCATCAACCTCGAGAAAGACGACGATGGTCGTGATAAACGCCCACCGTTCGGACCACTCTACGAGATGTCCCGTGACGAGCTCCTCGTGCTACGAAAACTCTGACTGACCATCTTGACAAGGGCTGGATCCGCGCCAGCAGTTCACCCGCCAGCGCGCCTGTCCTCTTCGCACGAAAACCAAGTGGCGGTCTTCGCTTCTGCGTCGATTACCGCGGCCTCAACGCCATTACGAAGAACGACCGTTACCCTTTGCCGCTGATCCGAGAGACCCTCCGCAACCTCGCCACTGCCCGATGGTTCACCAAGCTTGACGTCCGCGCCGCTTTTCACAGACTTCGAGTCCGACACGGCGACGAATGGAAAACCGCCTTTCGCACACGGTATGGCCAATTCGAATGGCTGGTAACACCGTTTGGTCTCACAGGCGCGCCCGCGACCTTCCAGCGCTATATCAACTCGCACCTCCACGACCTCCTCGACGAATTCTGCTCAGCCTACATGGACGACGTCATCATCTACAGCGACGGCGACTACCTTGACCACATGACCAAGGTCCGTACAGTGATGGAACGCCTCCGCAATGCCGGTCTTAAACTCGACCTCGAAAAGTGCGCTTTCGCCGTGAAAGAAGTCAAATACCTAGGATTCATCATCAAAGCCGGCGAGGGCGTGACGGTCGACCCGGAAAATTCAGGCTATTCGTGACTGGGAGGCGCCCACAACAGTGACAGGTGTCCGCTCTTTTCTTGGATTTGCTAATTTCTATCGGGAGTTTATCGAGACTTTCGCAGCTGTCTCTGAACCCCTCAATAACCTTACCAAGAAGTTGACCAAATGGAATTGGGACGCTTCAGCGCAGAACGCCTTCAACAAGCTCAAGGAACTCCTCATCACCTCACCCGTCCTCGCGATGTTTCACTCCGACCGCGAGACTGTACTCGAATGCGATGCCTCCGGATGGGCCGTTGGCGCCGTCCTCTCAGCGAGACGAAAGGGTAGACTGCGACCAGTCGGCTATTTTTCACGCAAATTCTCCGCTGCGGAGGTGAACTACGACATTCACGACAAAGAACTTCTCGCCATCGTCGCGGCAATGGAGCACTTCTCAGGCGAGTTACGCAGCGTTGACAAATTCATAGTCGTCTCAGACCACAAGAACCTGCAATACTTCATGACCAACCGCCGCCTCTCCGAACGCCAGGTCCGCCTAGCGGAAACACTCTCTCGGTACACGTTCAAGATCGTTTTTCGCGCTGGGAAGGACAATACACAGCCGGACTTCCTCTCTCGCCGCGCCCAAGACCTGCCCGCTAACGGCGACGACGAGCGCCTTAAAAACCGCGAATTCCAGCTGCTTAAAGATCATTGGCTACCTCCACGCACCGTCAAGCATCACCAAGGCGACTACATTCTTAACCAACTCGTCAGCGCGGTACAGACGCGCCGCTCAAAACCACACCCATCGACGATTCTCAAGCCCCGCCCAGAGGCGCCAAACTCTTCTTCGACTCCGCGCTTCAGTTGCTCTGGGACCGCGGCCTGATCGAAGACGGCGAGTACCGCAACATACACGCCTCTGTTGTCCAAGGCAACGCCACCTTCCCTTCGGAATACAACCTTTCTGTCCAGGTACCTGACTGCGAAATCGACGACCGCGGAGCATTGCTCCGGCGCGGCGCTTTATGGGTGCCCAATTGGGAACCACTTCGGACGGCACTGATACAACAGACACACGACTCTCACATTACGGGTCACCCTGGGCGCGACGTTACGCTCAACATTCTTCAACGGAGCTACTTTTGGCCCCAGCAATACCTTATGGTTCGCCAATTCGTACGGAACTGCAATGTTTGCTCACGGTCAAAGTCGTGGCGCCACAGCCCACAGGGTCTCCTACGACCTTTGCCTATTCCGGACAGATTTCACAGCGAATTGTCTGTCGACTTCATGGTTGACCTGCCAGCTAACGGCAAAGGCCCCCGATTTCTGATGGTAATTTGTGATCGGCTGCTCGGCTCTTGTACACTGGAAGCTATGGATTCGATGGAAGCTGAGGCTTGTGCCGAGCGCTTTGTTCAGTGCCACTACAGATTCCACGGCTTTCCAAAGACGATGACATCTGACAGAGGCAGCAACTGGGTTAGCAAATTCTGGCAACGGCTTTGTGAACTCGTGCGCATTGAGCAACGTCTATCCACGGCATACCACCCTCAGACCGATGGCGCTACCGAACGGATGAATCAAGAGGTCCTTGTTTACTTACGAATCTTCGTCGCCTACGCCCAGACCGACTGGGCAGGTCTTCTGCCAATGGCCATGCTCGCGATCAACAACCGCGATTCCTCTGTCACGGGTTACAGCCCCTTTTTCCTCACTCACGGGTACCACGCCGAGCCTATCCAACAAAACCAAATCTCATCTCGCTCCAAAACCGACCCCAAGGCCCGTGCCGACCACTTCATTGCCCGCCTACGAGAGGGTCAAGAATTAGCCCAAGCAGCGAAAGCGACGGCACAACAAATCATGGAACACCAGGCGAATAAAGGGCGGCGGCCAAGTCAAAAGTTCGTTGTCGGGGAGCGTGTCTGGCTGAATTTGAAGAACGTTACCACCCCAACTCAAAAGAAACTCTCGTGGACACAAGCCCAGTACAAGGTCACCAGAGTCATCGCCCCTGACGTCTACGAACTCGATGTCCCTTCCAACATACACCCGCGCTTCTTTGCTGACCTCCTTCGCAAAGACCCTAACGACCCTCTTCCATCACAAGTACAAGACGACACACAACCACCACCGCTACTAGACGGTACCGTTCCAGTGTATTCCGTGGAGAAGGTTTTGCGGGCAGAACGCCACCCCAAGGGCCGAGAACTTCTCGTCAAATGGGACGGATATATCGAACCCACGTGGGAACCACGTGACAACATCAAGCTTACGGACGCCTTCAAGAGGTTCGTGGCAACATACGGAGAGGGCGACGACGTGGGTGAAGACGAAGGCTCTCGTACAGGGTCTACGAGTAAGCGCCGCAAGACAAAAACACCAAAAGTGGTGGCTTTGTCGTATATCATGAGCTTCAGTGGGTGCGCTTTCAAGTCGCTTAGGGCCTTTTCTTTCTTCCCCGGAGGAAGGGGGTGATGTTACGGTATCCACCTCCACATACCTTACGGTATCCACTTCCACATACCGTTACGTATATAGACCGCTTCCTCCTTTTCTTCAGTTCCTCTTCCTCTTCCCTTCTTCCTTAAGAAGTCGATAATTAACTATTCTTCCAAGTCCCTTCTGGTTATCCATATCGGCCTTGATCGTAACACCCTGGACTACAAATATTCAGCCAATATGCCATTTCCGTTGCATCTCTTATGTGAACTCCTCAGTGAACTCGAAAGAAATCACACGAGGTCTTTCAGTATTCAGAAGACCCAGGACTTCGATGTGCGCAGTCTTGTTGGCTGGTTCGACAAACATGATACAGCCATCCCACGTCTAGGGTCAGAAGCCGTGGCATTCTTGTCATGCCTCTTTCCCGAACGCAGGCCGGACCGAGTTTTCGGCTTGTCAAAATTCAGCTCGAAAGGATTGTCCAACAAGCACAATGTCTTGGATCGTCCCGAATGAAGGAGCTACAGATATGGCAAACCAGGAACGGCCCGGACTTCGCAACTTGTGTTGAGCGCGTTATGGCTATAACGGACTGCGAACCAAGGATGGGTCCGAAAGTGACTCTGCAAGAACTTGACGATGTGCTCGATCGGATTGCAGCCTTCTCACCTTTCTCGTCCGCTGATCTGCGAGAAGAAACTGAGCGGAAATACCGTCAACCCTGCAGCAGCTCGGACGATCTGCTCATCAGGTTGTTCCGAAGATTGAACAGCTTTGAGGCCAAATGGCTGGTTCGCATGCTATCCAAAAACTACAATCCGGCCTCTGTCCCAGAAAGACTGGCGATGGGCAGATTTCATCCGTTTTTGTGGAATCTCCTCCGTTTTCAGAATTCAATCCAAGTTGCCGTAAGTATCCTAGGGGGACTTGAGATACGGAATACACCCCTACAGGCCGTGGTAAATCCCTGGGAAGAGTTGAGGAAAGTCCTACAGCCGCAGGTTGGAGTCATGATTGAACGGCCAGCTTATGCGAAAGCAAGGAGCATCAAGCATTGCTGCCACTTGGCTGGCTCAAGACTAATGAGCGTGGAGCTGAAATACGATGGAGAATACTGTCAACTTCATGTTGACTTAAGCAAACCCGGCCTGCATCAAAATATTCTCCAAGAGTGGGAGGGACTCTACCATCGACCGCATTGGCCTTCATCGCGCGTTACGAGAAAGCCTCGACCTTGGCACGGCAGGCTGCAGGATCAAGAAACAATGCATACTGGAGGGCGAGCTGCTGGTATGGAACGACGACAGTAGGGTAATCGAGCCCTTCCACAAAATTCGTAAACACGTCAGACGATCAGGACGGCTCCTTGGAGCGGCCCAAGACCCCCCATTCAATATGAATGAACATCTCATGATTATGTTCTACGATCTTCTGTTGCTGGACGACACGGTCTGCGCTAGAAAAAGCCATGCTAAGCGGCGACGACTACTTCGGTCTCTGGTTCGCCGGATCCCTGGTCTTGCCGAGGTCGGGTTCCGCGAAGTGGTTGCATTCTCCTCAGCCAATGCTGCTGAGCGGCTCACTGAACTATTCGCACGAGCCATTACACAACGGTGGGAGGGACTGGTGCTGAAAGGTTGCAACGACCCTTACTTCACCTCCGATTGCGACAAGTCATCCATCAAACTCAAGAAAGACTACATTCCAGGCCTCGGTGACTCTGCCGACTTCACTATTGTCGGTGGCAACCATAGCGCGGAGGACGAACAAGAGATTGGAATTGGCAAGCTCTGGTGGACGTCGTTTTTTATCGGATGCATGGAAAATAAAGATGAGGTCTGCCGTTATAATTCTAAGCCAAGACTTCGCATCATCGACATCATCGACAAACATGGCATCCCGAAAGACCATATGCAATATCTCAACCGACATGGATATTTCACACAAATACCCTTCATTGAGTCCACGCCAAATTTTGACGTGGTCTTGGACCCCGACCGTGGACTACGCCCAAAGGCGTTATTTCAGCATCCATTTATAGTAGAACTCGTGGGATCTGGCTTCGACAAGCCCGCAAATGCACGGTACTATACTCTACGGTTTCCACGAGTGTTGAAGATACATGGCGATCGCTCGTTCACTGCTACCACTAGCTTCGACGAACTGCAGGGAATGGCTCAAAAATGCTCAGAGATACCTGACAATTGCGAAGGGGAAGAAAATTCTTGGCTAAGGAGGTTGCGAGGTCACAGGCACTGGCTTGGGTCATCAAGCCTTGGGACATCAAGGCGATCTCCTAGCGTCGATTCAGTTTCTTTGGACATTCAAGCCACCAGCCCAGATCAGAGGCAACAGGAAAACGAGGGAAGCGGTTGAGCTCCGAGCCCTGATAATATTTCCGTCGATTCATCGAAGAGAAGGGTGGATTCGGACAGTGCATGGCATAGTACAGTCAAACGCGTAAAACAGGACTAGAAAATATGTGTATGCATATTGAAGACTTACGCAATGGGTGGGTAATTATCAAGATTCGGCGTTTGGCAAGAGAGCAAAAGCACTGTGACTGCCTTGTCCAACGGCGTTCGAACCCGGTGAGGCGATTGCCTTGCTACTTGTACTGAAGCGCGCCCGCAAAAGACCCGGCCGATGCGAGAACCCGTTAAGTTACAACAAGACTCTGTCGAGTCTACTCTGCATCACCATAACTCGGTAAGATATCCTCGAAGCATCTTCTCTATGGATGAGGCCATTCGACGGTTGGAGCTCATCTCTGCCAGCAATTGGCTCGCGTGGGCCATTATGGGCACTTTGGCGGCAGTCGGGGAGGGGGACACGTCTTGATAGGTGCTAAACCCGTCCACGCTTGAAACATCCGAGATGGTCGCCAAGGACAACTTTCTTGGTTGGAAAGGTTGCGAGCCAGCCAAGGCCACAGAGTTGCATGTTGACTCAATTGTAAGCCATGCAAGGGCAGAGGCACAAACAAAATAGGGGACGAATGGGGAGACGCGTCTAAGGGTGAAGAGCCTGCTGTAGGGCTGCGACAGGGTGAGGATAGAGTCCGCAGCCTGGAGACAGATTTCGCGGGGTCGGACGTCGGAATCAGCCAGGACAAGGTTGGCGAGAGGGCGGAACAGGCATAGTAGGCAGAACTGATAGTACATGCTACATGCGGGCAGTCAGCCGGATGATGCTGTCTCTTCTCCCCTCTGTGTCTCTCGGCCCCCTCCCGAGTCCTGTGAGCCGGGTTCTTGTGTCTGTGTACATACTGGATAAAGAGTACAAAGGGGGTGTCACTGCCGCCGGTTTTGGGTAGGGAGAAGAATCCTTCGTACCAATCGAGACACTCGGTATACACTGCCATGACCTCGGCTGTGTCGAATCGTCCGTTTGGGGTATGGGTTGCTGATGAGAGGAGCTTGTACACCCATTCCGTGAGCTGGAAGACTCTTGCTGGAATGAGCTGTAGATTGCGCAGTTGCGAGCCGCGTGCTTTCAGGGCAGGGTCTGCAGCCGTGTTACGGTGCGACTCCTGATTGGATACAATTCCTGGGTATACCTAACTTGATGCATTCACCTGGTGTAGTTCCGCTGCCGCACTGGCCGCCAAACAGGTACTCGGCACTGCAGGCGGATTGGTCTAGAAATATTGAGTCGTCTTGTAGCTTGCAACTCGTAGACATGGTGAAGACTTGGCCCGTCGTGAGACGAAGTATGCTGTGTGCGGAATCCCATCAGTTTATGCTTCGGAGGAGTCGGGAACAGGGGCTGCAAGCGGTTTACAGACCGAATCAGGGACACGGCGCCGCGGTACGAAGTAGCCCAAACTTTGGCATATTTCTCGGCCTCGGAGCCCATCAGGGGCTCTTGAGGACAAAGATTGACTATCCTAGCGGCAAAGGAGTCGGCAAGCGCTTGAGCTTCGGCCTCGCGCCCGCAGGTAATCTGGTAGAGCGAGAGAATCCCGATGGCCTGTATATCTGGGAGGTTGGCCGAGCGGCCGGTTCTGCGGATAATGGCCTCGGCCTGGTCGAAAGTGGTTTGCTTCCGCACTTGAAGCCAGGCCCCGGGCTCTCCGCTTCGTCGCTGATCTCGTGGACCACCCGGGTTGCCAGCGCGATGAGCGCGTTTACCAGGGCAGAGGAGCAGTACCGGCTCGAGCCGCTGCAATAGTCTCGGAAGAAGGGGTCCTTGCACATGAGGCAGAAGGGGAGGTAGTCCCAGGTGAGGAGGGCGTCGAGGATCTGCCGAACCGAAGCCACCGTACACCTGGCGCACGTCCACCTGTCGGTTTGCGCGTGTGATGCATCGTCAAAGGGCAATGACGGGGAACAGGAGCCGCCAGGGCCGGTGTCGAAGTCGCCTTGGGAGCCTCGGTCAGTGTGCTGAGGTCGCTCGAGCCCGAGGCAGAACGGTGCATGGTGGGCGACGGCAGTCGGCTCAGGCAGTGCGGGCAGACGGCTTCGTCGAGAATGGAGCTGGAAGAGCCCGCCGATGATTCCTGTTCACCTCCATCTGACGAGCCACGCCCGTTTTCACCGTTCAGGTGCGCCAGCTCCTGCAGAATGGCTTGGTGAGACTTGGTCCCCTCGACCAAGTCTTGTATAAAGGCATTGCTGACTTCGACGTCGTTGATTGAACATATTGCGCGGAGTAGTCGGTCATGCTCCTCGTTGTACCGCCGTAGACTATCGATCTCGGCCCGTAGATCGTCTTTGGACTTGCGTCGCGGGTGGTCGTATACGCGTCCTTCTCCGGCCTCGTCGCATCTTTTGCACGGTGCCTGGCCATCATCACACTAGAGAGCGAGAAACCAATCAGTGAAAGTATCCAGCTAGGCAGGATATGGGATGAGACAGACGACTGGGGCTCTTTGGGCTTTGGCTTCGGGTGGGCTATCGACTGACCTTTGCTCGTTTCTTGCGGCACCTCTGACAAGCCATTCGTATCAGCATTCGACGGGGCATTGTCTTTGCTGCCAAGTGCAGTAGGGGCCCGTGGAAAGGAACCGCCTCCTTATGTAAGGTACGCCTATCGTGCCCGGGGCCAGTCGAGGTCAGACCCTGAGGTATCAAGACAACATGGCTTAGGCGTCACGGCGAGATGGTGGTCAGGGCCGCGATCGCCACGTGCTGTCCATGGCAAGGTTTAACGTGCCGGCCCGAGGCATGTTTGTGCATACGTACATGCATATATATCTTGTATTTATGTATGTATATATGTATGTACATATGGTTGCCCTGGTCTGCATGAGCTCGGAGTAGAGGAACAAGGTTTGGTGTTTGGGTCACTACAGCACCGACGTGCTGCAACACAACATCGCAGACGTCATGCCGACCTCGATGGCGCGCAGGTGGGTCGCTTTCTGTCACGTCGCGCCACATTTTGTCTTGCCTTGTCTCGTCTTTGTCCCCCCGTCATGTCGTGGCGGCCCAAACTAATTGGCAGGGGTAGTTCGAGCACGATCTCACTGCAGCCGATCATTAGCCCAAGGGCGGGGGTCTTTAGACCCCATTTGTAAGCTTACCCCTGACTCGTATTGTGTGTGACACACCGCCACTAGCTCGAGGCAACCCCAGGTACGGATACTCAGGATACTTTATGTATCTAGTCTTCTCTAGCCTAGCACGTCTTTTGCCCTTATAGGGATGTCCCAGACGGTAATCAATACTACTAAGTTACTAGTTATAGTAATTAAATCTCGCGATAACCTCACTTTCTGGATGCCAATTGCCTTTGCCTTATGTTACGAAAAGTTGGAGCTACTGTCTAATGATTCAGATGACACTAAGTATCTGGCTTCGCGACACCTCTATGTTATGTCAGACATGTTTGTCGATAGTGTAAGTGCGCCTCACCAATCGTGACTTACGACAGCGCCATTTCCAGAGGGGAAACGCGCATAGCTAAGTTACCGCTAGGTGTGAGGCGCCCTTGCCTAATACGGCTAGACACATGGAAGATAAATATCGCGCATAGAACGATTAAGGGGTCCTGGTTTAGGCCATGCATAGGTGATGATTCGTTCAAGAAGGGTGCCCTGCACATGGAGATCGTTGGTCAGCAGCGTCCTGCATCTTTTGCTGCAGGTCATCAATCCTACCACCTGTTCTCGGATGGCTGCCGCCACAGCCCAGAAAGGATTAGTTAACCATGAAATTGCACTGCCGGCCGAATCGCGCTTCTGCTTCACCCGACATTCTCGAGATGGTTGCAATATGTACACAGCAATGACCTGACGTCTTCGTTCTACGAGCTGCTATGCCGCAGCCACAGTGTGCTTCCACCTCTCTTAGCACTTTTTCTGCCAGATTTTTGCGTTGTACCAGGCACTACGCCCTCTTCTTGAGATGGCTGCGTTTAGAGGCATATGGAGGGGGAAGGTGGGCGTAGTGGAGGGTCTCGTGGCAGCAGCTCGGTTGGAGCGCGATGAAGCGGGATAGTGCAGAAGTACTTTAAAGTAGAGCTAGAGAGAAGAGGTGAAGGCGAGGGTGGGAGATGTGGGGTCTCGGAGACGTATGCGAGAGAATGGTCAGGGGCCACAACTTGCGTCACCAAACCGCGTCCTTTTTGGGCGCATTTCAGCGACACTACTTCCAGGTACATGGGCACGAACCGCGATGATGACGTTCGAGGTGCGGCAAGGGGCTATTTACCTACCCCAACCTCCAGAATTGCCGCTTTTGGCGGCTCCAACACTGTCTGTTGATCTGAAACGTGCTTGTGAACTACGCCCAGAAGAAGGTTAAGACATTTTTCGATTCTTCTGCGACATAGGCTTTTCCGGCTCTCCGCCCGGGCCACCCTAGTCGCACGGCCTCTCGGCGATTGTCGCACGGCCTCTTTGGCCGGATTAGGCAGTTGCGACACGTAATTTGGATCCCTCCAATTTGCCTGCGATTTGCATACGAAAAGAAGTATCGCGCGACAACCCGACCGGCGCAAGTAATGCATTGCAATTCAATGATTCCCGCGAGGCTATTCAGAACTGGATTATCTGCTCGTACGGCCGCTTGCGCGATGCCTGGCGCCGTGTGACCCGCGGCTTCGCCTGCCTCTGTATCTGCCCTACGTTCCCACTTCATTTTGCTGTTCAGAAGGGACCTGCGGTAGCTGCCTGGAAATCCAACGTAACCTTGTGCCATATCCTGTGAGGCTCGCGATACATCATCCTGTGGGAGCAGCGGCGTCATCAGCGGCGTCATCAGCGGCGTTATTATCTGCGGCAGCGGCGGCGGCGGCAGCGGCTGTGAGGATTGTTGTAAATCCTGGATTGCTTGCTGGATAGATACACCTTGTGTAGCTAGCTGTGACGTGAAAAAACGAGGCATTTCGCGATACCCTCGTTGGGGCCCGGGCCCAATCTGTGAGGCCTGTGGCTCGAATTGCCCCCAGCTTGACGGTATACGTGACTGTGCTGTGTGCGATCGAAAGCTGTGAGGTTGACGTACCGGCTGTAGCGGTTGGGCTGGCTGCTGTATCGTAACGTCGTTAGATATCGTGAACTGACCCTGTGGTGTTGAGGCTGCTGTTTGCTGCATTTGTAGAGCTTCAAGGGCAGCCATGCGTGCAATAGCGGCGTTTCGTTGGGCTTGGGTCTGACGGGGTGCTCGAGGGCGTGCTTGTGACTGTGAGGCTCGTGACGATCCTGCTTGCTGAGGAATACTCGTTGTTATATCTTGCCCAACGCGCCGGCGAGGATAATTCGAGGGTCACGGATGCGTTGATACGGATCAGACTCTGGTAACGGGTTTTTGAGATGCCAATGTCGATCAAAAAGGGATAGCGGTAGCGGCCGTAGCGGTATCACGATCCGCTCAGAGTTGGTAGTTTGAAGCCCGAGATAATCCAATATAATTGTCGCGAAGCACGTCTGAGATCTTGAGCTCGGGGTGACCATAAGGGGTATACAGCTAAGGGCCCCGACGGGCTAGACAGAAAGGCAGCCTGCAGAGAGTTCTGAGGCTGCAGAAGACTATTAGGAGACCGCATTAGGCAGCCACACAGGCTGTAGAGAGACTGCATATACGGGGGAAGCTGAAAGAGCCCTCGGCGACTAGGGAAAGTCAGTATGCAAAGGGGGGGCTGGGGAAAGGAGCCCAGCCTCCTAGATATTGTACCTATACAACTGAAAAGGGGATATCAATAGGGAACCAAGGGATATAAATAGGGAGCCTAGAAGAGGGCATTGCAAGAGGGACAGACACGACGGAATACAACACATCATACCCATCGTTACACAATCAATGCCCACTTGCATGCTCTCTTCGTGAGAATAATATGACGACAAGGGAGCCCGAATTGTGCTGTAAAATTGTGTGCGCAAGGCTGTAGTGGCGTCCGGCGTGGATTGAGGCGGTAACCTTTAGCAAAACGGTATTCTTGCTGTACCTTTTGAAGACTTAGGTAGGAGACTGATGAGACGACTTCTTGATATAGAAGTTGATTGTATGGATTCCTATTTCTCGTTGCTTCTTTAGCAACGAGAGCCCGATGCCGCCGCTGTACCGTTTGCCGTTGGAGTCGTAAGGCGTTATATAGTTGCAAAAGATGTGCAGTTCCGTTCTTAATAAAGCTCTGCGAGCTATTGTGAAGAGATTCACAAGGCGAAGTCGTCGTATGACCGTAGTTACGGTAGGTCTTGGTATACGCCTTCACCCACTGTGGCCGTAGTCGAATGTACGTCGTAGAGAGGTATGAGACTAAGGCTGTTGAAAGTGGTGATCTTAGCTATGGTGTTGAGAGGTAGGCCCGGCAGCTGCCTGCCGGTACGGAATAATAGACTTACCAGGCTGCGTTGAAAAGTCGTTCTGCAATGCTTGCCACAATACCAAAAACTCTGCCTCTGTATCTGCATCACGAAGGCCTTCCACGCCTTCACGAAGTCATCCGGGGTTCGTTGTGCTCGTACGCCGCGATCCCCATCAACAAGAATACCGATATTCATCGGATCAGCCTCACGAGCGGCCATTTCCTACCCAACGCTCACGAGCCGCCTTCTTGATGTTTTTTTCGATATGCCACGTACAGAGCTGCTTTTGGACCAACGGAAACACACGATCGATACCCCAACGCTCCGCTGCATCGAAGTCGGTAATCACAACGTGCGGATAGAAGGCATCGTCGTTGAGGTCGAGGCTGAGAGCATATTCCGTTATCCAGATCTTCCACTGGCCCAGCGCCCATTCGAAGATACCACCGTTCTCGTCTGGCGAGAGACAGGCCACAAGTGGGAAAATCGAGCCCGAGAGAGTAATGCCGTTTACCTCGAGTAACTTCAGCCCGAACCTATTAGTATTATAGGTCACATCGAGCATCATTAAATGCGAATGCCGGGTCCAGAACTCGAAGCCTTCGTCTAGCAGGAAGACGATCTTCTCGAGGTGTTCGTCATTATAGGTCTCGGCGTGCGGTATACGTATATCGTCTAGTTTTGCTACCAACGCCTGCGTTGACGTTCGAGCCCCAAGTTCACGCATTTGACGCCGGGTCTGAAGATTGGTTACATCCTTCTCCGTTGTCAAAATACCCTCGTTACGAACGGAGAGGATATATGGATCGTTCGAGCCGTTTGGGCAGCATCGCGAGATAAGAGCTCAACTTCGTCAATCTGGGCCTGCGTGAGTTTGCGGTGTTCTGGGAAGGCGATTGGATCCTCGGGACCGTGGTTGTGCTCTGGGCACATCACCGTTATATGCCACAGGTCGTCAAGTGTAGTCATTTGCACTATCTTGACCTTGAACGGGCAGCCGGCTTTCCTCGTGCCTGACTCGCGGAGCCTTGCTGCAATAGACACATGATGGATAGGTCCACGGGCGCAAGCGAGGTCCCAGCGGTGAGGAATACCCATACGCTTATTGGAGGATCTGACTTTGACTACAGCGTAGCCTTCGTCTCTCGCGAGGGCCTCAATAGCTTCAATTGCGGCATCAGCGGTCTCGAATGGCCCTAAATCGAAGGGCGCAGCCATCTCGGTAGGCAGTGTCATTGAGTCCATTGTAAAGGCTTCAAATAAGGCGGTGAATGCGGCTTTGGTGATATCGGCGTTGACGGCGTTGACGGCGTTGATAGACTGCGTTGACAGACTGCGTTTTACGCGTTACTACCACGAGTCTTACGCGTTTAACGGTGCGGCAACCATCGGTACAAGAGGTACATCAATTTGCTAATAAAATTGCCTAGGCCCTAAGTCTCTCGTGTCGCAACTGCCTAATCCGGCCAAAGAGGCCGTGCGACAATCGCCGAGAGGCCGTGCGACTAGGGTGGCCCCTCCGGCCGCCGAGCCAAGAATATAGCGTCTAGATTGGGCAAAAGCAGGCTCAGGTAAGTCTGGTGGGCAACGGTCGTGGACATGCGCGAGTAGTTCATACTCCTGTGGAGCTAATGAGCGCCGAAGTGCTCCTTTATTAGGGGTGATAGACGAAGGTGAATTTTTTGAAGATTTTGAATGAAGGATGAATCAAATGAATTGAATTTTTTGGATCTTGATTCAAAATCTTCAAGCTCCAATTTTCGCGATTCAAGTTGGGTTTGGGCCAATTCAGGCCATTCATGAATAGTTTGAAGGAATCCCCTAAACGAAGTGAATTTGGTGTGTACCTAAGCGATTGCAAAGATACCTCGAAAACGCCAATACCCGTTGATCTTGGTGTGGGGCCACAGCAGCCCAACTAAGTGTCTTCGCCACTTAGTTGGCCCAAAAAATCCGGCACAGCCCAAAAAATCCGGCACAGCAGGGTCCTCAATTTGGGGTGCAAAATCAAGGGAAATTCTACGCTTCGCTTCATGGTGCCGTCAATGCGACTTCAAATAGCTAAAATATACATGTGATCAATAGCTGCGGATCACCTAAAGACGCAAGTAACAACGAAAAGTGAAAAAATCACGTCTTTGGGCCTATTTAGGAGCTGCCGCCTTCCAGTCGAAGAGATAGGAAGACCGCGTTTGTGAGTCCAAATAGACGTATTATGTAGTAATTTCGCCTGTTGTGCGTCTCTGAGAGCTATTTTATCCATACCTGTGTTCCTGGAGCGTCTGCTGTATCTTGTTGGACGATCGGGTGCGCGGTCGAGGGCATGGTGTATCGACTACCGCTTCAACCGCTGCTAACGGCGGCGATGAGGGTATATTCTCTTGCGTGTCGAGTAAATTGTCCTCGTCTTCATCGTCGGCGCCATCCTCACTATGTTTGTCAAGATCGAGGCCTGTGAAATAGACGGTATCGTCACTGCCGGGCAACGACGACATATCTGTAAGTGGGCGAGGTCGGGTCGCTGCGCGCGCCCTGACATCTCTGGCGGAGTTATTTCTCTTCGTGGTATCATAGAAAAGGATTCCTTGGATGGCTCTTTGAGCTCCCGCATGAGGGTATCCCAACTTTGCTCCAGAGTGTAGAACTCACCGTCTCGTCCGTAAACTCTAGCCAGGGCTTAAAGTTCAATGTCTTGACTCTGCCATTGACTAACTGCTTCTTCCCGACTTTATAGTCTTCTCGGATCTTCTGCATCTCTCCACGAACTCGTTTAAGATGCATCCTTATCTCCTGGCGCGTTTGAAGCCGGGTTTGCTTTGCCTGGAGCTCCTCATACTCCCGGGTGATGTCGGCCATGCTGGAGCTCGTGATAAACTCTCCGCGCGGCCTGACAATCTTGCCTCTCTTCATTCGATTCGCATACGCCTGGGTTCGGCTATTCTTATCGCTGACTATGCCCTGGGAATGTGACGCCATCGCGATAGACTCGGTGTTCACTTTCGCAAGAACCCGCAAGTTTTCTCGTGATGGCGAGCTCATGAGGGCCCATACCGTTGCCGGATATCATTGAGGGCATCCGCGGCGACTTGGAAACGCGTCTCCGAGGGTAGGAGCGAGGCGTATGCAGGATTGATCGGCTGCTGTTGTCGTAGCTGCTCGTGGAGGATCTTGGTGATCACCGGCGCTGGGTCGACAGGAAAGAGGCCTGTTTTTTCAAATGCCGCCATAATGTTATGCCGCGTGAAGCCAGCCTCATATACGTCCTGAAAGCTGTGAGGAAGTTGACCCGCGAAAATGATATGTTGCCTTCTGCGAGCGACTTCCGAAGCGCTTTCTGATGTGCTGACTTTAGTGGCTGGAATACCCCAACATCAAGCGGCTGCATGAGGTGGGTGGAATGTGGAGGAAAATAGCAATGATGATATCAAACTTGATACAATACTCAGCAAAGTCAAGGGTGGTATGCCCTGTAAAGCCATCCACAACAAGCAATCGGTAGATCTTCTCGTCGTCAGGCCGTTGGTTTGGCGGCGCCTCCACGCGACTCATCCCCATGTTGGGGCGCCGAAGATGCTCGTCACAGCCGAACCACTCTTCCAGCGAATTTCCTGACTGTTTTGCTTGCGCTGACGATGCCCAAGACCAGCAGTTGAAATGCCTTGCCCACTCAAGGTGTATCTCTGCGTTGGAAAAGCCAGTTGGCGACTGGGCAAACCGTACGCCTGTCATGATGTCGATGCCGGCCCAGTTGGTGGTAGGGTAATGTTGGAAAACAAGCCAGGGTGGAAGAGAGTCCCCCACTGCGTTAACTGAGGCAATTACCGTGCAGGATTCTCGGTTTGCTGGGTCTAAAACTCGGGGCCGGGTGCTCTTGACTCTAGTGGTGCGCGTGATGAGAACTTGGATGCGTTCTCGCAGGCACCCAATGCGTATTCCGGCCTCGTCTTCATTCCAGATCTCTGAACTGCCAATACGGTAGCTGGTGATGATTTCTCGAAGCTTTGAGTAGAAAAATTCGACTTCTTCTACCCGTGGGCTTCAAAGGACTTCCGGGCTCGTTCAACTGCTTTGAGATACGTCTTCGCGATCGCAGGATGACTTCCACGCCAATTGTCAAGCCAACTTGACGAGACCGGGCGGGCATTGGGATCTCGACGCATTCTTATTGCATTTGCAACAGCTTCAAGTTGCTCTCTCGTGGCGGGCATGCCGGTGCGTTCCATCCACTGTACATACGCAACCAGGGCGTCGTCTTCGTCCTCCGTCAGCGCCAATGGACGCCCTGGAGCACGGGAAAGGGTTTCTTATGAAATTAATGGCTCTCTGTACGGATGAGCTCTTCACATTGTAACGGATGGCCGCATCTCGCACGGAAAGAGGCGTTCTTTTTGGTGTTGTTGAGCGACGAACATCGGCTCTGGGGTCGCGACGAGACGCCAGAACGGCTTTTGCTGCCTCCAGGGTAGCCATGTTATCTGTCATAATGTATTCCGGCAAAAAGATACGTAAATAAAGTCAAGTTGCGCGAGAAAACGCGGTTGAGATGCATAGGGTTGACGTTTTGGAGGTGGGCTGCTGTGCCGGATTTTTTGGGCTGTGCCGGATTTTTTGGGCCAACTAAGTGGCGAAGACACTTAGTTGGGCTGCTGTGGCCCCACACCAAGATCAACGGGTAAGTAGTATATGGTTTTATAGCCTTCTGGGAAGTCTCTCGATAATCTCGAATATTACAAAAATTAACTTACATAAATACTGATCCGCCCGTCCTAGGCAAATGGACCGAAAATAAGCACTTTCAAAAGCTCTGCCGAATCCTCAAAATATATCGGTCCAACGCGTTCGAATCCGCGATTGTACACAGTTACACACTTGTAGAGCCTCAATCCTCCGAAGCCTCCATTGTATCTGGACAGGGGGTTGATATCGCAGACTTATCGGCTTGGGAGGCAGGAGGTTTGGGGGGTAGGAGGTTCGGCGGGAGCCTCGGTAGTAGCCTCGGTGGGAACTTCCGCCGGAGCAGGGGGTTGAGGAGGAGGATTCTCGCCTGAACGCAGATTAGCATATACACAAACAATGAGGGTATATTCACACCATCTACCAGCTTGCCCGGAAATTGGAATGTGGTCTGGTCTTCAAATAATAGAGCGTGCCGTTGTTGGCGGCGTTGTCTCCCGTAATGGCGAGAAGCTTTGGCTTGAGCCTGAGCTCCTCAAGTGTCTTCTCAACTATCTCGTGTTTGCCAGTGTGAGATTTTTTGAGCTCGATAAACTCAATAACCTCCTCTCTCTCCTCAAACTCCGGCGTAATCCAGTGCGTAATAATGGCGAAAATAGGCACCCGATTCGGTGCTGTCCAGATATCAAGGGTGAGCGAGATGGTAGCACAATTGTACTGAAGCTCGATCTTCAGCTTCTCTCTGCGTTCCACAAAGTCTGTGTAGATGTGATTGCGTAAGGTTATACGGCTCCTGTACACACAGGTTGTATTGTGAGCCAAGAACATCTCTTGGAAAGCAGGAGTCTCAAGTTCTCAACAACAGAGAAGGGTTGTCGGTGTTTTACAAACCACTGGCGGATAGACTCCTTTGCCGTGAGCCTTGCTCTTTGCCTGGGTCGACCGCTCCATGCATCTACCTCTGTATAATCTCCTCCACCAATGGCGCGGCCGTATCCATTGATTCGACCGTGGTGAGACTCCTTCGTAATACTGTGGGATTTTAAATGGTCTCCCATGCCAGAGGTAACCCTCGGCGGTTCGATTCAAGGACCTGGAATATCTTCCGAAGAGTAGAAGGATTTTGAAGGCACTCTATACAAGTCCACCGGAACTCTTGGAATATTTTCGGTCCATCCTTGTACTCCGAGTAAAAGCTTCTGTCTATGGCTTCCCTCTGCATGTACCAATAAACGTGGCTATTCTTGTCTCTCTTCTTGCGAACATGCTTCTGTTTGTTGTCGGCCCACTTCTTGATAAGTCTGGCTTTCTCTGCGAGCGTCATGTGACTACCGGTACTGTTCAATGGCGGCTCTGATGTATCCGCGTCAGGCATGTCATCATCTGACTCACAGTCAGGATGGCCCGGGGGCGCGCAGACAATCGTATCTTTGCCAGTCGGAGGAGGACGAAGGAGCCGGAGTTGTGCTAGGATCAGGGCGCGCGCGCGGGATTCTGAGGTTGAATTGAGGGCGTTCAATGCGGGCATAACTCTGCGTTGGCAATTTACGCCGGGTCCTAGGAGCAAAGAAATTCGCTGCGGCAGCTGTTTTCGATTCAGCAGGGGCCATACTATGTATCATGTTATAATTAGCTATCGGTTGGACAGTAATGAAGTTTTACCTGGTCTAGGCTAAAAGGCTCGAGAATGGACGTGAGACAGGTAGTCGGGACGACACCAAATAACCCACAATAAAGTATAACGGAGTCGAGGTTGAACGGGTGGGATAGGTCGTCGGGCAGGACGTTGATTCGGGGGCCGACCCGAAGCCGCTGTCGGAAACATCGAAGCAGGAATTAGGCGAGATCGTCGTAAAATAATGTCGTGGCAGTTGTCGCGAAGACCGTTGCCCAATGCAGGCAAAAGGTGGATGGGCTGACGACCGTGTCTTTCCGACAGTAGAATTAACAGGTGGTCAATTGAGCGCGAATAACGCGTCTAAACGCGGCTAGTTGGCACAACATATCCTTATCATGCAGATGTTTCGGTACTTTCTGATCGGGCTAGTTTGTGTGGACAAGCAAGTAGCAGTCATATTGGGCTCGATGAGTAGATAAGTCCCTAACAGTCTCCAAATCGCGAGATGACGCAATTCGTGTCACGTCCAATTGTTCGCGCAGTATTGAGACGTTGAGGGATCTGAACGCGTTTTTCTAATCAGTTTGCCGGAGGCTGTTTAACGGTATAAGTCTTGTATTATATTTCAAAAATTTGGGCTGCCGAGCTTAATCTGTGCTTGAGATGTAGTTTTGCAAGTAGCAAATGACCGATCTATTTATTGCCTTCAGGATGATGTGGCATTTCTTGAGCAAATGTTAAGCACAGATATCGAGAGTTATATCACCCGAACCAGAAAATCCAGAACATTCGAGTGATACTACATTTAAATGGTGTGCATTATAAAATGGCACTGTTCATAAGCTTCATGGTTTTTTTGATACTCCGTATAGGGTGGCAAGACTGCTGAAACGGTGGGCGTATCAGGCACTGTTAGGGTCGTTATACCAACATATATGGACGCCCTAACTACCCCACTTCCAACCCACTGGGATTTTCCCAGTGGAGTGTGGGCGGAATCCAACTGAAACACGCACAACAGACTTTTAAATACGCAGTGCGTCATCGCATGGGCGGCCGATTTCGAAGTTACCATGTCCGCGCGGGCGAACCCTTGCTCCTGTCAGAACGGTGGTTCTGTGGCGTGCCTAATGGGGAAAGTGCATTGTGGAATCTATTGGTATTGTGGGAATCATGCTCGTCAATTGTATCTAGATCACACGGTCAGCATGTGGCCTTAGGGTCACGTGTGCGGCTGAGGCTTGCGTGGCTATATCTTCCACGCTGGCCTCTCCTCCTAGATAGAAGACAATCCTCATAGCATAATACGACACACCGGTTGAACGACGTTCCCAGTTTGTCTCATGCTCGAGCCCTGCCAACAGGTATGATGGGGTCAAAGCAGCTTGTTTCTTGATGTGTACGTGTGTGTCTGCTTGTTGGAACGGCGCAGCAGGAAGGGCGGCATGGGTCACCTGCCAGGTCACGTGGGGCATTCAGCCGAGATTTCTGCGGGCCCAAAGGGGCACATTCCTAGCCGGAAGGGGCAACACACACATCGCCTTTACACACACACAGCCGTGCATATAGCTCCAATTGACCTCTTCTGTGTGCCCACTATCGTTGCCACCTTCCTCATTCGGACGAGCCGCAGAACCGCTGTTTCTGACACTGCTCAGAAAGAAAAGGAGGCCCTTGGTGGGTGGCTTTGGGCATTAGCCCATTCCTCCCCTGTATGCCCCTTGGCTGGCAGCTGCGAAGCGGGGTGATCCTTTTTTTCACCGTATATTTCGACCATATCGCCATTCATTCAAGATTTTGATGAATGAATTGAATAAAGACTCCTGATTTTTGATTCATCGAATTTGAAGACCTTACCCGATTCGGCTTCATTCAATTCAAGGGTCCCGAGGCCGATTCGACTTCAAAATCTTCAAATATCAGCCCTATCCTTTATTGTCCTGACTGGCTTACATAGTGTACACTACGGTATTATTTCCGTTTGAGCTGGTCTTTTACCAGGAGGAGGCAGAATTCAGCCGGGCAGGGAGGGGCTTTTGCACAAACTTCATGCATGTTTCGAGAGACGGCGCACGTCTGGATGGCGTCATCTTGTCCTCTTAGTAGAAGCGATTTTGACCAATGAGAACTGGAGCTTAGAACATCAATAACTCTGGGCTGCGCGTATGATTGGTCAAGTGACGCCAAGCTGCATCGGAGGCTGTGCACCTGATGGCCGTTAGGACCTGCGGGACGGAACAGAGTGAGTCAGTCAGTCACAGATCGTAAGAGACAGGGGTCACACAACAAGGGGCACGGTTGGTGTGGATGACTGAACAACGATCGGGAAGAAGATCCCCTGTATCGGGCAACGAAAGACTCTTGATTCTCTATCTAAGTGATGGTGAAAAGTTGGCTTCTTATACTTGGAATTTTGGGCTGAGTGGCGATGTCGCCACCTAGGCAGCATGTAACGGGCTAGGCCCTGCTGGACAAGGCAGTGCCTTGTCGGTCTAAGCACTGTTGCTCCAGTAACGGCTTAGTCTATTTTGTTGGAGGATTTCTGTCCTTCTATTTTCCTTTCCTTCTTCTTTCCTCAGCTCGAATGTAAAACGCACGAGGACTACATAGCTGTAATTTACACTATTAGAACCCATCACACAGCATAGATGACGATGTCACCTAGAAGGTTCGAATCCATCACTAATATGGCATTACGAACTGCTTGCTGCCTTTAGGCAGCACCGTGAATGAGCGTCTTGATCTTGACAGGGCGGTAGAAACCTTTCGCCAGAACGCAATTACGGTACGGTCAAAGCCTTGAGATGTACCTACGGCAAGCAACTGCCAACTGGTAAGTTAATTTTCTCCTCGATGCGTGATACTGTAATTTCGCATCTCGAATTTTTGTTATTTTAAGAGTTCAAAGAGCATGAGAGGAGTATCTGCAGATTATGGAAGGGCCGGAAAAATTACACGATATGTATTTCGCGCAGCATCGAAGACTGTGAAGCGTAGACTGGTACACCAGATTCCTAAATACGCTACAACTTGGCGACGCGTGTAAGCCAGGATATCACAAGTATTGCGGCAGCGAAAAATGCAGCGGCTGTACAATGTTCGTTCAACCGCTTGGCAGTGGCTTATTCGATGCTCCACACGCCGGAGCGGGCAACCCAGGGCAGCTCAGGGCAGCTCAGGACAGGCTCAGGCGGCTCAGGCAGCTCAGGGCAGATCAGGGTAGCTCAGCCCCTGCTCAGGGTAGCTCAGTCCCTGCTCAGGTTCGGCACGTACTTACTCAAGGTGGATCAGGTGGTGCTAATGGAAATACAATAGAGTGTGAACTTTCAAGGGTAGACCATGATTGCTTTGTCGCGCGGCTGGAATAGATCTGAGGAGCGTGTATCCTGAAGCTTCGGGAGGATTCTCGCGGCCAGCCCTTCATGGCAGACTGGTTGCTCGCTAGCTTGCTGGGAAAAAGTAAGATAGCTGCGTGCCTCCCCTAGGTAACTGTTAAAGGCACCACGATAGCCCAATTGACCTCCATCATGCCGTAAGAAGTAATGAGCAGGCAAACATTCGAGGAGCAAATTGACGTTTTTCAAGAATGCTCGTTCTTTAGTTACGTTGTGTTCTAGTCACATTGACGATCGATGCACTTCCCGCGACTGAGAGCCGATACGATGCCGCCCACGTGGTTGTCCTTGACAATTGGTTTGTTGCAAAGGACGCTGGACGCTCGATCATGCACGCCTTTTATCTAGGTGTGGATTTTTAGGTGGCCCGACGGCCGTTCAAGCGAAAGACAGAATTAATGTTTAACGACGATTACGCCAATACACATTGGAAGAGGTAGGAGCCAAGTACACAAGTTGTTATGAAGATCTAGAAGGTGCGGCCCAACGGTCCTATTTATGCCGTTGGGTAACTTCCATGGGCACCAAATTAGCCATACACGTGAGGTCACTATAGGTCCTGATACATGGCCTTATAATGATCTTTCAGGTGGTCCTTGATAACACCTAATAGCCTAACACTCCGACATTCCTCGTAAGAACGATTGGAACACTTCCACCGCAAAAGTTCCTCTATCACCACCGCGCGAAAATGGGCGTCAACTAGAAGGCTGAAGCTCGAGGAACGTAAGTTCTCCTTGTCTCATACTAAAAGAAAGGATATTCTCCTGATTAGGAAGTCTGGTTGAGAACAAGGTGACTGCTTTAGCCACACACATAGATTTCGCGCGATGCAGGTTGACCGTGGAGATACCAAGCGATACATTCGATTTGCTACCTTGCAGACCAACAACTTCGATTGGTCAAAAGGCATAGCTTAGTGTTGAAGGCTGTGTAGCGGATGAAGTGTTCATTGAAGGTTGAAGAAATCTGTGAGTAAATACAGAGAAATGCCACCTTAATTCAGCCCGAAGGGCGTTCTACTCAGTCAGAAAGAAGAGCATAAAACCTCTTCTGATTGGCTACTTGGCCTCCCCTGTCCTCAACTCGTGCACGAATTGGTCGGCTGATAACGCCACCAAATGAAGGCCCACTACAAACCCCTGAGCGTTGTCTAGGTAACTAGCGAGCTCTCGGAGAGCTCGCCGAGAGCTTTCAGTTCTTCTTTTCTTCAATGCAGCCAATTTGTTAGTTTCTACGCACGCTTCTACTTTCCCTTTCCGTCGAATCTATCAAACCCATCGGGTTGCTAACGGTATCTAGGTTCCCATTGTCAAAAGGAAATGAGAGATGCCATGCATATAACGGTTATAGAGAGTCTATTGGCCTTGACCACTGCCCAAGTCAAGGGGACGAAGGTCCCAGTTATATACACAAGAACGGTGCCCATGTGGGTCGGGACACCTCCTCGACTGGGGCGGAATGTCGTTTGACACCCATATCACGGCAGCCGACCTACCTCTCCAGATTCCCCAAAGCACCACCAAGCCCTCGCAAAGCCTCCCTGCCCGAGCCATATCTAGCAGTCTATGTGGGTAAGAGGTGGATATATATACGGTCAGATGGAGAACGATACACCCCAGGCAGTCCGCAACTGCCGTACCTGCAAGCAGGACCTGCCCGAAGTCGAGTTTCGAAGCGTCAAGGACCCTACGAAGTTTACAGGAGAGTGTGCTAGCTGTAGGGCACGCCGAAAGGAACGGGAAACCGAATCCCGAGCCGCCGTTGCCTCGATGCGGAATATTGCCTCGAGGCCATCGCCACGCAAAGCCACGAAGAGGACGGATTCGCTAGCTAACCTGACGCCTCCAAGGCGAACTGCGCCAACGCCTGCGTCTGTGAACGGCCTACAACCTCCTGCCACGCCTGCTTTATTTCGTGGCCTGGCGCCTGCGCTGGGACTGCCTAGACCTCCGCTGAGGCCATCTACCCCAAGCGTTGTAGAGGGACCTTCCCCTATTCCTCCTACCCCTGGCCTGCCAACAGTAGTTCTGGGCACGCCGATACAAGACACTCCTCCTACAGCTCCCGTTGTGCAAGGCACTCCTATACCACAGGAATCGCTTCCGACCACTCCTTCATTATTGCCACAGGGTCATCGCCGCGGCCATTATACACGCCAAGGCACACAGCCCCAAGAGCGACAGTTTGATCAGATGGTCGATCCACCTTTTACAGGGGACCTTGACTTGCCCGCCCTTGGTGAGGAGGATCAGGCGCTTGTGTGGGGGTTCTATACTGCCCTGAATGACGACAAGATGCATAGTTGCATTCGCTGCCGGGAGCGTTGGTTCGATATGAAGCGAAATAGCTCGAAAATCTGCAGTCGCTGCATTGGTCGAGACAGGAAGAAAGCCCTCGACGAGCCCTACTTCTTTAGCGCTGCGAATAACCTTGACTTTGGGAAGTCCCGCCAATCTACCTGATCTAACGATGGTCGAGGAGATGCTCATCGCTAGGGTTCACGTACATGTGAAAGTCTTGCAGGTGCGTGGCGCTCAATACAAATATCGCGGTCACGTTGTCCACTTCCTTCGCAATGTTGGCAGGCTCTTTGAAGAGCTCCCAGTCCTACCTGAAGAGCTAGATATCGTCCTCCTGCGGCCTCCTAATATGGAGGGCGACCCTCGCTTCCGGCAACAGTTTGCTCGCGATTTCCGGGTACGTCGCTCATTCCTGTCGGCCTGGCTGCATTACCTACACCGCCACCACCCGGGCTATCGCGATATCGTTGTGAGCCAGAATCGCCTGCAACGGATTCCTCTTGATGGCAGCATAGTTGCTTCCATTGCCAGCCAAGTGGCTGACATACCTGATGGCGAGGTCCCCCAAGGCCCCGTTGAGGAGGTTGTGGAAGAGGACCCTAGCGATGCCGATGCATCAGCGATCCCGAATTTGCAGGTCACTGATACCGAATTGAACGCTCTGCAGTCCCGATTTCTTGATGGGACCCCTAACCCTGAGGGCATGACTGATCTGGAGTATATGCCGCGTAGCGCGCAGACTCACCACCAGATGCCACTGCCTTCCATTCGCAGGACCCCTATCGACGAATTCAACCGTTCCCAGCCGCTGCTAACGCTCGCGTTCCCTACCCTCTACCCTGACGGCAAGGCCGACTTCGTGGAGCCTCGCCTACGGAGCATCACGTACCAGGACTACCTTGGCCATGCGATGAGATGGCATGACGGACGTTTTGCCCGCCATAAGACGTGGCCTTTCGTCGCCCTCAACACGCTGTTACGTGCGCAGGTCCGAAAGCGAAGTGACTACTTCGTCAAGCAACGCGACAGCCGCCGTCAACCCCTTACACGCGCTGACCTAGAGGAAGCGATGGCTGAGCCTGACGAGCCAGAGGCTCAGGACCTGATCCAGTCGATCACGCGCCAAGCCGCGGTAATCAGGGGCACCCGGCCGTATTGGTATAAGCAAAGAAAGGAATTGGAAGCATATGCCTACAATCTGGGCAGACCTGGCCTTTTCGTTACTGCAAGTGCGGCCGATTACCACTGGGAGTCCCTATATCGTCACATGCCTCGATTCCAAGAGTGGAAAGCAGCTCCTGAGGCGGCGCGCATGGTCCTGTCCCGGCAACTACTGCGAGACAACGCCCACATCGCCGCTTACCACTTCCATAAGCGTTATACGCTGTTTAGGACTATTGTCCTGAAGCAGAAGTTCAACCTAACGGACTTTTGGGGCCGTTACGAGTGGCAGGGCAGGGGTTCCAGTCACCACCACGGCCTATATTGGCTAAGTGGCCACCCAGACTTAGATCCTGACAACGATCAGTCCGGGAGCAATTCGCCCGCATCTGGGGATATCACGTATCTGCTGTCAACCCAGAGCCTCAGCGAATACAGGCGCCTGGGGAAGGGAATCCCCTGATCGGCAATCTATTGGAGCAGCCCCTTACGGTTCAGTTCCTATCAATGGTGGTCAACCGCGTGCAACGCCACCGCTGCAACAACTACTGTATGCAGCTCAATAAGCATACCAAGCAGGTTGAGTGCCGCTTTGGATTTCCTCACGGACAGCGCCTGCTAGCCTCCTGACAAGGTTCCTCATTCTAAGCACTGGAACTTCAGGGCGAGAGGAACGATGGCCAGATTAACCACTACAACCGCTTGCTTACCGTTGCGTGGCTAGCCAATACAGACGTTTCGCCCTGCACGAGCCTCCAGCAGGTAATCGATTACGCGGCCAAATACTGCTCCAAGTCGGAAAAGAAGAGCGAGTCTTTTGCCCAGATTGGGAAGGCTTTGATGTCCCGGGTCAAGGACCACAACCCCCTGATTTCCTTCACGTCAAAGCTCCTCAATCAGCTGGTTGCTGAGCGGGATTACTCTAAGCAGGAGGTCAGCCACTTGCTCCTCGGCCTGCCGTTACAGGAAGGCTCACGAACCTGCCTGTACGTTGACTGTCGTAATCCTGACAGGCATTCCCGCTCCTCCGTATTGACGGCGATGAGGTTGACGAGGCCCCAACGTTTTCGAAAAGTACTGTCAACGCCCGGAAGCCCTAGCGGACCTAAACTACGTCTCCTTCCTGAAGTGCTGGAATTTCCGCCCTAGGGACCCTTCCAAGTGGAAGCAATGGCAGCCAGGCAACGTTAACGGCAGGCCTCGTGTGCTGGTTTACTTTCCTCGCTATCAGGCTGATCCAGAAGGCCAACAGTGGCTTGATTACTGTCGTGCAAAGCTAACATTAAATCACCCACATCGGCAGGTTGATGATCTCCTCACATTTGACGGCCAGCTTTTTGGTTCTCACGCTGAGGCCTTCTCCTATTGTTGGCAGCACCACAGTCATGGTGATGACCATTATGGTCGGCCAAAAGAGGCTCGATCACAGCCTCAAGATGATCAATACGAGGCTCTGCCTGTGGAGGAAGAATTTGATGATGAAGACTGGATTCGCCTCGCCGCCCTTTTACCTGGGAACCCCCTTACCCAGGAAGATCTTGACCTTCTTGGCCGCCGTGATATCGACGTCAATTACGACTGGACACGGCATGTGGGTACATATCCGGAACTTCGAGACGGCTACTGGAAAGACCTTATCGCTAGCCACCCCATGGCCAACGATGTGGAGGTCCTTGGCCCTCACTGGCGTAATACGCTGAATCCGCAACAACGGCTCGTGTACGACACATTCATGGGTCACTTCCAGGCGAAAAATCCTACTCAAATCCTTGTCCACGTTGATGGTGGTGGTGGCACCGGCAAGTCGTTCCTTATCAAGGTGCTTTCCTCCCATCTTCAGGCGGCCGCTCTACCGAATCCTAGCCCTATTTGCCGCGTAGCTCAACAGGCGTTGCGAGTAACCAGATACAGGGCAGCACCATTCATTCATTGCTACGCCTCCCAGTAGGTGGTGTTTTACCGACCTTCCCCCAGCCGACGCAGCCGCCCTTCAGTCCCGCCTACGGCACGTCAAATACCTCGTGATCGATGAAAAGAGCATGCTGGGGATTGAGCAGCTCGCGCGGATCGATTCCCGTCTGCGACAGGCCTTTCCACAGCGTAGCCTCGAGTTCTTTGGTGGTATGAGCGTCTTGCTTGTGGGCGATTTCTTCCAGTTACCACCAGTCCGGCAAAAGCCCCTGTATTCGACTAGCACCAGCCTGTCTGCGTTGGAAAGGAGAGGGCATGTGGCCTACCGGTTATTTGATCGCACCGTCTTCCTGACCACGGTACAGCGCCAGGCTGGTGATGATCAGGCCCAGTTCCGTCAGGCGTTGCAGGAACTGCGTGAAGTCAAGTTATCCATACCGTCCTGGAACCTCCTTAGCAGTCGGGTACAGGCCAGGCTAACGCAGAGCGAGGTTGACAGCTTCAAGGCCGCTTTGCGGGTGTATTCTACAAGGGCGCGGGTCAACGAATACAATTACGAGCATATGGTTCATCTAAACTCTCCGGCAATACAGGTGGAGGCAAAGAATCAGGGCAAGGGCGCGGGGCAGGCACCAAGCGACAATGCTGGCAATCTATCTAACAAGTTCCCCATTGCTAAGGGCGCCAGGGTAATGCTCACTACTAACCTATGGCAGCCAGCTGGCCTAGTTAACGGTGCCCAGGGTACTGTATACGATATCGCCTGGAACGCAGGCGCCGAACCATGGAAGATCCCCGGCCGTTATTATGGTGGACTTTGATAGCTACGACGGACCGCCATATCTAACAACTAACGAGGGCAGGAAAATCTCACCCATCCTCCCAGTCAGGCGAGACTTCCTTGTGGGCAACGAGACCTGCGCTCGCACGCAGTTTCCCCTGATTGTGGCGTTTGCCATCACTGTTCATAAATGCCAGAGCCTAACGAAGGATCAAATAGTTACTGATCTCGCTACACGCGACTTCCAGGCCGGGATTAGCTATGTTGCTGTCTCACGGGTTACGTCGCTGCAAGGCTTACTCCTCGAGGCGCCTTTCGATCGTCAGAGCCTCTATAACCACACGCCGACGGAAGGTTTACACGTCTGCGTTTCCTACGTACCGCGTTCACGACTAACTATAAGGCAGGGATGAAGATGCGCCTCGCTGACCAACAACGGCGTCAGGGTCAACAGCTGACCGACGCACCATATACACCACGCTACCTTGACTAAACGACATGTTCCTCTCGGCTGCAGGGAAAAGGGAGGTTCGATATATAGTATATAGTTTACAGTTAGGTTGGGCCTGTTAGGAAGCAGCAGAGACTCCTAACTATCAATTCCCTTAGTGCAGGTTTGGGGCGATTTAAACAGCTGGTTGCCCGCGGCAGGCAATGGGGGTTCTAGGGGGTCTCCCCCTAGGAAAGTGAATTGCAGGTATACGATATTTACCCTTCGGGCTGGATATTCAGCCGTTGAGCCCCTTGCCTTGGCAACTTAACGGGTGTTCGAAGTATTTTATATCACTTCCAAGCTAGTGTCAGAGGCTCCTCAGAGAGCCTTTCAGGGGTTCAGGGTTTCTGATGACCCACTTCAACACTCCCACTCGCTCTGAGGACGGCTCTGACAGACAGGCGAAGGTGCTGTGCAGCAGTGTGCTGTTTCCTAGGGCCCTCGCTAAAACCCAAAAAACACCTCTTTATGGGTGAAAAATATTGGGAAAGAGTGCGCCACTTTAGGTGTGACCTCCTTAATATGCCACTTCCAAGCGGCTGACAGAACCCCCTGGGAGCGCCTTTCAGGGGTCCGGATGACCCACCTCAAACTCGCTTGAAGGGCGGCTCTGTCAGACAGTCAAGGTGCCGTGCAGCGGCAACGATAGTCCCGTCTAGGCCCTCGCTAAAACCCAAAATCACCTTCGTGGGTAAAAAACACAGGGAAATAGCGCGCCTACGGGTTCGTTGCTTGCAACGCGTGGACTGCGGAGGATGACCAGATTGATCTCGCGGAGTGGCCATCAGAGCTCCGTCAGTGTGGCTGCCTTCTTGCAGAAGGGTCTTCGCCAATGGAGGGCCAGATTGATCTCGCGGAGTGGCCTCAGAGCTCCGTCAGTGTGGCTGCCTTCTTGCAGAAGGGTCTTCGCCAAGGAGGCCAGATTGATCTCGCGGAGTGGCCTCAGAGCTCCGTCAGTGTGTAGAGGCTTGAGTGCCTAAGGAGGGCCGAAGATGCCTGTGACACTCCCACTCGATTAGAGGCTGAGCAGTGTGGTGCTTCTAATCGGACTTGACGCCTAGAGAGTCCCGGAAACGGAGGAAGGCATCTCGTGGCAGGGGCCGCAGGGCCTTGGTGAGCCCATCAGCAGGCTGCTTGGTGCCTTCGATCTTGATAAGGCTGACGGTCCCTTCTGCAACCTTCTCTCGGATGAAGTGCCACTTAAGAGAGATATGCTTAGTGCGAGAGTGGTGCTGAGGGTTGTTGGCCAGATCTATAGCGCCCTTGTTGTCCTCGTGTATGGCTGTTGGCACAGCCTGTGGGTGGCTTAGGTCCTTCATTAGGGAACGCAGCCAGATGGCCTCCTGGGCTGACTGGGTCAGAGCCACGTATTCGGCCTCTGTGGATGAGAGCGTGACACAGGGCTGCCTCTTGGAGGTCCAGCTGATGGCTGCTGAGCCGAGGCTGTAGAAGAAGCCTGACGTCGATCGTCGGGTGTGCAGGTCCGCCGCGAAGTCTGCGTCAGTGTAGCCTTGGATCGGCTGCAGTGGTCCCTCTAAGACTAGCACATAACGTACCCCACTGCGTCATGCAACGCACTAGGTCATGCAACAATTTTCAACACCTGACGCGTCTTCTTCAGATTGACGCGATATGGACCACAACACTCGTATTGCAGAGGCAATTATAGAACTGCAATCCCAAGATCGCCCTAAATATGCAGAGACCGCGAGGAAATACAATATCGACAAATCCACGCTGTGGCGCCGCTTCAAAGGCAAAACAGCCTCAAATCACGACGCGAACTCTTACTCGCGACAGAAACTCACCAGCGCGCAGGAGGAGATTCTTATTGGGCACGTCAATAAGCTGACCGACCGTGGTATCCCGCCTACCCCTCAGATGTTGAAGAATATCGCCGAGGAAATCGCAGGGACAGAGCTTGGTGTCAACTGGGTGAGCCGCTTCCGCAAGCGACACCATGACCGTCTTTCGAGCTTGTATTTGCGCACCATAGATCATCAGCGGAAGGCTGCTGATAATTCAGGCATTTCCAAAACTTCTTCAATCTAGTAAGACTGCTTTTATCGTCATTTCAAGGGTATACTGCCGACAATACTCGGTCAAATGCCGTAAAGTCGCCATTTCTGACCGAATCAACTAGCTCCGCGAAAAGATCGAAAAGTACAACATCAGTCCCTCAAATGTTTATAATTTTGACGAGAAGGATTCCAAATTGGTCTCTCGCTCCACCAAGCGAGTTGTCCCCGAAGCCCTCAGGCGCGGAAAACTGGTCGGGGCAAGCCAAGACGGGAACCGGGAGTTCATCACGCTGATCGCTGCCATATGTGCAGATTATTCGTACCTGCCACCGGCCCTCATTTACAAAGGGAGTCAAAAGACTTCCAAGATACTTGGCGAGTTTGACCATTCCAGCGAAGTAGCCTTCTTCGCCAGTACGGAAAACGGCTGGAGCTGTGACGCACTGGGTTTACACTGGCTTCAGCGCATATTTGACTGCCATACGAAGCAAAAGGCTGGTCGTGCCTACCGTCTCTTAATTTTAGACGGTCACAATAGTCACATTAACCTGAAATTCATTGACTATGCCGATCGGAATCGAATTCTCATTGCTGTGTTGCCATCGCACTCAACTCATCGGCTTCAACCACTCGATGTTGGCCTGTTTTCCGCACTCTCCACCTATTATGCTCAAGGTTCCGACCAGCTGATGTCCATTGGATGGGGTTTAATTCGCCTTACCAAACGGAACTTTTGGCCACTCTTTCGTGATGCGTGGAACCAGGCATTTACGGCCAAAAATATCGAGGCTGGTTGGCGGGCCACAGGAATCCATCCACTCGACCCCGGCAAAGTATTGTCCAAGATTAGCCACAGCAGTGATGTGACACCCCCACAAACTGCATCTGAGGAAAGGGCGATGAAGACTCCAGGCTCTCTTCGGGCTATTCGGCGCATTACCCGCCGTCTCCGCAAGGAAGGGCCGATGGACTCCCGAGTCACAGCGCTCTCCCGAGCATCAGAGAAACTGGCGACACAATATGAGCTCGTACAACACGAAAATCGAGATCTACAGGAAGCGCTCAAACTTGCACATAAAGGAAACGCAGAAAGGCCTTGGGCCTTTTCAATCAGAAGAAAGTGGTGGCCAGCCGGTCTTTTCAGTCCAGCCAAGGTGGAACTGGCGCGGCGACGTCAGACGGACAAGGCACAGGCCGACGAGCAGCGCAAGCAAGCCATTGAAGATCGTCGACTCCAGGTAGCCATATCACGTGAAGAAAAGCTCGAGAATCTGCCGAGAAGAAAACAGCGGGCTGCAATGCGTCAGGCCTTGCGAGAGCAGCGTTCTCGAGAGAAGACAGAGCGTGCTGCGGAGCGCGAGGCAAAGCGAGCTGAGAAACGGGAGGCCGCAGCAAAATTAAAAGCAGAGGTCTGCACGCGAGGCTGAACGCCAGGCTATTCGGGAAGTCAAGTTTGAGGTAGCTGCTACGTCAAAGCCTGGTGTAAGAGGGCACAAAAGACATGGTAGCGGTGAGAAAACGAGGGCGTTGGAAGCGGGTTTGCGCGACGGGCATTCAACCACGCAACAACTCGGAGGAAGAAAGGGTAAAGATTGGTTCTGAAGCTTCAGTGGCTCGAGACCACAGTCCCGGAGCTTTAGGGGTAAAGACATACCTCCCGTTCGACGGAAGCGCAGGGAAGTATGGAGGCCGGTTTCTCAGTCTCTCAGGTCTGGGCGGACCACAAGACCGCCTGCTCATATTTCCTAAGAAAACCATCATATAGATAGACTCTGTATGAAGTGTTTCACATAATTGTAATGTTTAATAGTATTTTAAATGGTTGTGTCGGTTGCAGGATTAATTTTCGCTCTGGCTTGCCGGTCGGGCAATTTGTTGCATGACGTGGTGCGTTGCATGACTCAGTGAGGTACGTTAGTCAATGGTGCCCTTAAGATATCTCATGATGCGTTTCACAGCTGTCTGGTGCTGAGACGTTGGGTTGGCAAGGTGTCTGCAGCAGGCGCCAACGGAGAAGCAGATATCGCTCCTAGTGCCGAGCATCGCATACATCAGCAGGGCTTGTTGGAATACTAACCTGCTGAGTAACCCGTGCAATCGGGATACCATCACGGTTCATGCACGACTCCCACGTGACACCCTACCCCGCGATCAGGGCACGCAGCCCCGGCTGCATGCCCCATTACCGGTGCACATTCCGTTTCTTGTGAATAGCTTCCTCTTCCTAGTTAGTTACAATTGAAGTCATCACCGGTTACCCTACCTGTCGTGACTGTGACTCAGCCTACAGCTTGTGCGCATGCGTATCTGTAGGCACATAGGTGCCTACCATCACTGATCAGTGGTTCCAGGTCCCGAAGGAGCCACAGAGCAGCAATCGAAGAGTCGCCGATCTGATCCGCCTGCAATTCACCGTGCCGTTCGGAGAAAGTGATACTTTTCCTCTACGGGTAGAAGAGACAAACTCCGTGAATCGTTCCGCCGAGCAACTCACCGACCGTTCGAAGACGACAAGTTTGTGCTAAGAGCAGGAGACACTCCTTATTCCGATCCGCCTTCAACTCACTGTGCCGTTCGGAAGAAAGAAGCAGAACCTACGGCTAACCTATTGCTATTCCTAACTGCCGTTCCGCCGAGCAACTCACCGACCGTTCGAAGGAAAGGAAAAGACATAGCTTAGCTGCGTCAGCAACGTATTCCGACTCCCTCGCGATTGTGCTTTAATCAGTACAATTGATTACTACAATTCACCTCCGACACTATGTCTGCAGGACCTAGCAGCAGTGCCCCGGGAGGCAGTAGTAATACCCCCGTCCCTACTATCTCTATTACTCGCGATCCCCCAAGCCAGGAGAGAGTGCAAGGATGGCTGGATAAATACACTGGCATACCGATCGACATGTCAGACATTGACCTATCCCTCTGGCATACCCCTGTGAACCTAGAGGAAGACCCCTCACCACGCCACTTAATTACACATCTCGCCCGTGCGTGGACCGACTATGAGAGAGCCAATGTAGGAAGAATCGACACTCTTATTATGTTCCAAGAGCACTTCGAAGGATGGAATAGTGCACTCTTCGGAAGGATTGAGCCAACGATTCGAGCTGCATTCGTCAACTATCTTCGTACGAAGGAAGTGATCACTGGCCCCTTGAGAAGATGCCGACATGACTATCTTCTCGCTTCCTCGTCACCGAAGAATATTGGGAACCCCAGGATCCCCCGGCCCCCCCCATCGACGAGGGAGCACACCCCGCCCCCGCAGCGACCCCTTTGCCCCTCTCACCACCTATTCAACCGCCTGTACAACCTGTCCAGCAGGCCACTCAATCCGTCACCCCAACCGCTTTTACAAACGCTCCGACGAGCTACACCTTCCCTCACCGCACAAGGATAGCTCCCCAGGTAACACCAGCTCCCCCTATTACCTACCCCAATTCAGTGGCGATTCCCCCAAGAGCCAAGTCAGATCCGCCACAATACACCCCATACCGCACATTGCCACCACGAGACGTGCCGAACACCCTGACCAATGTCCAGACTCTCGCCCTCTTCGTCAAGATTTGGAATAAGGAAGATACCTACTCAGGTCAACCTTACGATCTCCTTGACGATAAGATCAGAACTTCCTAACCACCTGCCGTTCGGTTGAAGTCCCCGAGTCAGCTACACGCCTTTCTCCCCGCGCCCTTACAGGTCGAGCAAAGACCTACTATGACCTTTATCTTGACCCAGACCTCACGTTCGCCGCCGCTTACCGACAACAAGCAACATTTCGATACCAACGTGAATCTGGAGCATTACCATACGGACTGGTCAACTATCACCTTCAACAGTGTCCGTAGCAAGCACAGTGACAAGGACCTCCACGCTGTGCTTGATATAATGCTTGACAAGCTCCAATTGTGTCAACGAGCGATTGGGCCGGAAATAGCTGGCGAAAGCAACCTCCGCAACGCAGTCATCCGCGCTTGCCGTGGAACGCCTGAGCTCAAGCAAGCCTTGTACAAAGCCCCGCCCATTGCGAACAACTCTTTGCCGACCTCCGCGCCTCTATTGAACTTGCGATCACGGACAACGGTAGCACCCAATGGTATACCGACCGCAAGTATCAACAGAATAGACCCCCCTTCCGCAACAATAACAGCGCGAACCCCAAACGACAGCCGCAGAGAAAGAAGGTGTGCTTCATCTGCGGCAAAGCTGGCTGTTGGTCTACCAAGCATACCATAGAAGAACGGAAACAATCACGGATGTATTTCCTTAATGCCCACAATGCCTCCGAAACGACCCGGACTTCGCCATGTTCCTCGCCGAATTCGAAGGTCATGAACTTGACGAGACCCTGTCCCTGACTATGATACTGCCGATGAAATTGACGATGAAGACCCAGCGATTGGCTCGCTGTTCTTCACGCAATCATTCCTCGCAGATTACGCTGTTCTACACCGTCTGACTAAGGAAGATGCCTATAGCGCTCCTCAAAAGGCCCCGGCACAACAATTCCTTGTCGATGACCGTTACACAACGCGTTATCAGGGCATCATGCTCGACACAGGTGCTTCCGACGTGTCAACCGCTGGCCTAGACCAATTCCATGCCTGGCAGCGCGAAGACCACTGCGCTACCCTCGATACCACCCGCGCAGGCCAGACAGGCATCTCCTTTGGAGATGGACCCCGGATTGTGTCTGTCGGTGCGACCGCGATTCGCACGGCATTCGGGCCCGTTGATTTCCACGTTCTTCCCACTAAGACCCCGTTCCTCCTCTCCTAGCCGATATGGACCGGCTGAGCTTGTTTTCAACAATCAGACCAACGAAGTCGTCCGCGATGACATTCGCGTTCCCGCAGTACGTAAATGGGGCCACGCATGGTTCCATCTAGGTAAAGAAGAGACTGCGAGTATTCCTGACCGAACGCGAATTGCGACGACTTCACCGACGATTCGGTCACCCGGCCACAGCTAGACTCCACCGACTGCTTAGATGTGCCGGGCATGATGATATTGATGAGCAGTCAATCCGTGAGATCACGAGGATGTGCCACCACTGTCAAATCAACGGCACCTCCCCCCTGTTGCGAAGCCGCTCGTAGGACCTCTAGAGGTTCCCTGCTTGCTGATGCTCCTGCTGAGACAGTCAGCCAGGACGTCAGGCCTGCTTTCTGATGCGTCGGCTGAGACAGTCAGCCCGGCCGTCAGGACGGTGTCCTAGGAAAAGTGGGGCGCAGCCACCCCGACGATTGACGGAGGTGTGAGGCAGACGGAGAAGATCGAGATTGTGGCCAGGAATAAAAGGGCGAGGAAGGAAGGAACAGACACAGAGAACAGAAGGAAAATGGAGCAGCACCGGACGATTCTGAAATACTAACTTTATGCCTATTTGGCCCTACTATTCGTGACAGTCATGAGCCGGGAGGAACTACGTTCCTGTAACTTCCATTCCGACCGAAAACCACTCTCAAATCAACGAGATGTCGAAGTCTTCTGCCGCCCCTGCACGAGCGATCCTCTCAGGACCAAGCAACTGGGACAAATGGAGAAGGGAGCTCAGGAATCGAACTGACAAGACGATCCATAGCCTGATCTTTACCAACGAGGACCCCCTCGAACCTCCTGAGCGACCTGAATTCCGCCACTACGCCCTGATGCTGTTAGACTCGCTGACCTCTCTGCCGTTCAGAAGAGAGATTATAACGACGCGATGCGGGACTATGATATCAGGAGGAAGAGTATAAAGATGAGACTAAACTGGTTACCAACGCTCGCATAGCGATGCAGGAATCAGTGGTATCCTCGAAGCAGAACGCCTTCGACGAAGACCTTCCAATTCGTCAGTGGTTTAAACGTCTAGAAGCGTCGACGGCCCCTGAAGCGGGATATATGATGAATCTCACAAGGACCAAGTATTCGACCCACCTAAAGAGATTTAACGCAAAGGATCTAGACTCCTGGATCGACAAATGGGAAGACATAATGTCTGACGCCGATAAGTATAAGCTAATGGAGGCCCAAACGGGCCAGTGGCTTAGAGACGTTGCCACATTGATTAGGCCTCTGGATAACTCCTAGGCTACCAGTACGAACAAGGAAGCAGGATACTCGACGCAAAATCAGAGGCTACCCAGGAAACTGTTCGACTTCGACCGATATGGTCCTCCTGCTGCTGCTCCTGTTAACCCCGTTGTTCACAATCCGGCAGCAGCTGCAGTAGCCGCGATGGCCGCTGCAGCAACGGCCGCAGTCGCCGCCGTTCTTGCAGCCCAAGCTCCGACGGAGAGTCAATGGACTGTTGAGAGAGTCGTGCGAGATGTGAAGCATCTGGCCGAAAGCAGAGAAGCAGAAAAACCCGAGGTGCTATCAAAGAGGCGCATTTCATGCGGACAAAGCAGCAGCAGACGCAGACGATGCGGACGAAGTACCGCCAGCGAAGAAGAAGAAGCTGGACAGAGAGCCCTTGGAAGGGAGCCATATTCCAAAGAGATCCCTGCCTTGCCTGCAGACGCAAGGGACACGAGCTCGAGGTTTGCTGGCAGGTTATCGAAGAAGCCAGACCAGAGGGCTATAATCCGCCCCTGAAAGGTATCTCAAGATGACACGAGAGAGTCGCTGACGATCCTGTCCTGAAAAGGAGAATTGAAGATATTCGAAAGAAAATGCAGAAATAGCAACCAAGGATGAGGGAAGGCTTGTGGGCTCAGCAAACCCAGCTTTCGTGTTCTCAGCTGAGTCCCTGGCCTAAGGGGATCGGAATATCCGCTTAAATTCAACCCTCCTTGATTGCGGCGCATCTCTTCATATCAACAACAAGCTCAGTCGGTTCCGATCGTTTAAAAGGCCAAGAATGACTTTATCGTCGCCGGTGACTCTCTCGTTCGAATCGAAGGATTCGGGCGAGTCAATGTCGCAACGACGATGCCTGACGGCTCCCACCGAACACTCCGATTAAAGAAGGTTGCCTACTGTCCCGGTTTCTCATCGAGCCTGGTTTCTTTGCAGACTCTTATCGACGACGATCAGATCTTTTGGGATACGCTGTCTGAGCCTATGAGGCTAGTCCGAAAGGGCCAGACTATCAGGATCACCGAGAGGAAATATCAGCAGTTTGTTGTTGAATACCAGCCCGTGGAAACCGAATTCCCGGATTTCAACAGTGCGTTCCAGGCATCGAAGAAGGAGACAAGGAAAGCTCGAAGAGCCGGCTCAAGAGATCCTCGACCTGCCTCTCAAGGAGACGGCAAGCTTTGGCACGCCCGTCTTGGTCACCCTGGTCCAATGGCTTTGCACAAGCTAGGCCTACAAAGGGGTCCGGATTAAGGGGCCGAAAACCGTCGAATGCGAGTACTGTGCTCAGGGGAAGGTCAGAAGGCAAGTCTCCCGCCGTCCACCTGACGAGGAAAGAGACAAGCCGTGCTACGAGATCTGGATAGACTGGACCGACCTTGCGAGAGACCACGAGAACTACGTCCGTGTGATGTTTATCACAGACGCCTTCTCTGGAATGGTCTTTCCCTACTTCATGAAGACCTACAAGGCAAAGGAACACGGAGCTGTCTTGAAAGACTTTTCCTCCTTTATGCTCGCTCGCTTTGGATTTAAGACGAATGTCGTGCGCTCTGACGGCGAGCTCTTCACGAAGAAAATCTCAGCCTGGATGAGGAAGAAAGGGATGACAAAGGCGATGTCAGCTTCCAACACTCAGGACCAGAATGGTGGAGCCGAGAGGTCAGGAGGATCTCTACCGAGAGCGAGAGTCATGAGGATTGCCTCTCGACTACCGCATTCACTATGGAAAGAGATCATCGAAGCAGCCTGCTACCTCCGAAACCGAACGCCAAGAGAGCCTCGATTCGCCGCTGAAAACGCTAACGAAGGAGAAGCCGACTGGAAGTCTCCCATTGACTTGTTCACAGGAAGAAAAATCAGCTCTCACATCTTCGTGCGTACGGCTGCCGAGCCTACGCAATGACAGCAAATGCACAGCTTGGATTGAGGAAGAGGTGGAAGCTCGACCCGAGCTCACATCGGATACCTCATCGGTTATAAGTCTACAAATATCTTCCTAATTTGGGTCCCTCTCTTGAAGAAGGTCATTGCAACGAGAGATGTTGTCTTTGACGAGTATACGTTCTTCGAAGGAGGAGGCGAGCGGATGCCGCTGCCTGCGAGCATCGGAGAGATGATCCAACAGATTGAAATCCCGGAAGGCCAGACGGCGAATCAGGCCATCCTTGACGAAGAGACCGATGAAGACACTGATATCGAGGACTTCGAGGATGATGACATCAGAATGGCTGAAGATAACGAAGACGAGGAGCAGGGACAACAACAAAGCGAAGAGCAGGAAAAAGACTACGGAGAGCGCGGGAGCTGGAAGATGCATACCTAACGCCACCAGCTTCTGACCCGGAGGAAGAAGAACCACATGGAGTCTTTTCGGTTCACTTTCCATACGCTGACCCTAAGGGGGTGGTGGTAAAAGCCCCTTTCCAAGTCGATCTGGAGCCGTTGCAAGCTCAGAAGAGAGTCCGGGTTCAGGATGATCCTGAAGAGGAGGCTCACCCTGAGGGGTGGGTTGCTCTCTTGGAGGAGCGGCATTTCAAGCCGACCTTGAAGGCCTGATGAAAGAATCGCGTTTGAAAGCTCTGGAACCATTTGATCAACCAGAGCTGGATCAGTCATACATCGACCGTTTTGCCGACTTCGTCCCGGTGCCAATTGAGGACGGGGTGCACGGAGCCTTCACAGCAGGAAGGTTGTTCAGACCGAAAAGCGCAAAAGTCCACAAGAGAGACCTACCCGAGCCTCCACAGACGCAGAAGCAACTAGAAAAACACCCGTATAGAGAGGAATTCACCCAGGCTCAGAGAGACCACCTGGCCTCACATGCGGAAATGGGCTCGTTTGACGAGGTCTTCTGGACGAAGGCTGCTGGAAAGCAGGTCCTCGGTTGCAAGTGGGTATTCATCTATAAGACTGATAAGCACGGCAATCTCCAAAGTGCAAAGCTCGCCTCGTTGTCTGTGGCAATCAGCAAGAAAGGGGACCTGCCTACTCGAGCGACTACCCTCGCAGGAATGTCGTTTCGTACGCTAATGGCCATTGCCGCGGAACACGACCTCGAATTGGAACAGATGGATGCAGTCAATGCTTTTGTTCATGCCCCCCTCGACGACGAAGAAGTTATCTTCATGAGGATGCCACCGGGGTTCCAGAAGAGGGGGAAAGTCCTACGCCTGAGAAAAGCTCTCTACGGACTACGCCGCTCGCCGCTCCTCTGGCAACAGATGCTTACGTCGTCTCTAGAGGAACTGGGATTCAGAAAAGTTCCCCAGGAGCCGTGTGTCATGGTGAAGGAGCGGTGACCGTCTTCTTCTACGTTGATGACATCATCTGGGCATTCCGGAAGGAGGACGAAGGGTCGTCGAAGAAGCTACTCGGGGACTACAGAAAAAGATCAACCTAACTCGGCTTGGAGAACCTCGCTGGTTCTTGGGGATTCGTATCCTCCGCGATCGTCAAAGGAAGACGCTTTGGCTGACGCAAGACGCCTATATCGACAAGATCGCGTATAAGTTCCTGTTAAACAACGACAACGCCCCTGAGTCTCTCAAGCTCCCAGACACGCCAATGATCTCTGACGAAGAGCTCCTGCCAGCTACAAGCCAAGCAAATGAAAGGGAAAAACATCAGTATCTCCAGAAGGTTGGTTCCGTGCTCTTCTCAGCAATTTCAACGCGACCAGATATTGCGTTTGCCGTATCCCGACTGGCAAGACATAACCACAATCCCGATGAGAAGCACCAGAAAGCAGCAGACAGAGTTATCCTCTTCCTCTTTGCAACGAGATCGTACGCGTTACGTCTCGGAGGAGGATCGAAGGAAGCGGAGCTGTTCCTCTGTTCGAGTGACGCATCGTTCGCAGACAATTCAGTCGACAGGAAGAGCTCACAAGGCTACGTCATGACCCTATTTGGAGGATCAGTGGCGTGGAGCGTCAAAGCAAGCGACAGTCACGACGTCAAGCACGGAGGCTGAGTTGCTTGCTCTCTCAGAGGCGTCAAAGGAGGCGATCTTCCTGAGCCGTCTGTTGAATTCCCTGGACATCCGAATTCCCTCTCCGTTGGTAGTGGAATGCGACAATGCCCAGACGATCAGACTTCTCAAAGAGGAGAGTACGAAGCTCTCGACGAGACTGAGGCACGTAGACATTCATCAGCATTGGCTACGACAAGAGGTTCAAGATGCTCGAATTCGGGTCAATTGGGTGCCTACGACACATATGCGAGCAGATGGCTTGACGAAGGCATTGCCGAGGCAGAAGCTCCTCGAGTTCCAACGAATGGTTGGGCTTGAGGAGATAAAGGAACGATTGAGTAGAGGCCAAGCTTGAAGAATTACGAGATGTGATACATCCCGTGATAGCCATAAAGAGGCCCAGGGCGAGAGATGAGTCGTGCACGACATTCCGCATCTCTAGCAACGTCCTGGTTGGCCGTCACTAAGGGGTGTGTTGCGAAGCCGCTCGTAGGACCTCTAGAGGTTCCTGCTTGCTGATGCTCCTGCTGAGACAGTCAGCCAGGACGTCAGGCCTGCTTTCTGATGCGTCGGCTGAGACAGTCAGCCCGGCCGTCAGGACGGTGTCCTAGGAAAAAGTGGGGGCGCAGCCACGATTGACGGAGGTGTGAGGCAGACGGAGAAGATCGAGATTGTGGCCAGGAATAAAAGGGCGAGGAAGGAAGGAACAGACACAGAGAACAGAAGGGAAAATGGAGCAGCACCGGACGATTCTGAAATACTAACTTTATGCCTATTTGGCCCTACTATTCGTGACACCCCCAACGCTTCAGGTTTACCCTTAGAGACGACCGCGAGTTCAATTTCGAGATAACCGCGGATGTAGTCCAAATAGGCGGAAAGCCTGTGCTACACGTGATCGACGAAGCCACAGCGTTCCAAGGCGCCAGGTTCCTCCCCTCGATGACCGCCCGAGACACCTGGGAAACGCTACGGATGCTGTGGATAGACACCTACCAAGGCCCCCCGGACTTTATGCGCCACGATGCCGGCACTAACTTTGCAGCAGAGGAGTTCCAAAGAGGCATCGCTGATGGGTATCACTTGCAGGCAGGTGCCTATCGAAGCCCACAACTCGATTGGAAAGGTAGAAAAGGCACACGGCCCCTCCGCCGCGCCTACGATATCCTCCAAGCAGAGTTGGGTGAGTCGAAGCCCAGATGCCCTCCTCCAAATGGCTGTAAAGGCAGTCAATGACACAGCCGGCCCGGATGGCCTTGTCCCTACCCTCCTCGTCTTCGGCGCATACCCACGAATCAACCACGATTCACCGCCCTCTCCCCCTATGATCAAGCGCGCAGAGGCTATTCGGAAAGCCATGGCAGCCCTGCACCGTGCTGCCGCTGCCCGTCAGGTTAGAGATGCCCTCAACACGAGGAATGGACCAAATGTAGAGCGCGCTGCAGAGCTTCCCCTGCAGAGCGAGGTCCTCGTGTGGAGAGGCTGACGGCTGGACCGGCCCGTGGATCGTTATCGGCAATAACGGCCACGAAATAACAATCAATCATGTCAATGGCCCCGCAACTTCAGGATCACAGCGGTCAAGAAATACCACCGTGATCCTCAGGCCCCTCATCACAACCCCACGACGACTCGCAGCCAAATCCCCGACGAGTCGACCCCAATGCACCCCTAACCCCGATCAAGATGATGCCCTGCCCCTGTGCTCCTACCTGAACAACGCCGACGAGGACGCCCCAAAGGCTCCAAGAACAAGCCCAAGACCGGCGTAGCCAACCTGTCAAAGAAGGAAGTTAATCACTATGATCACGCTGTTCAATTGCGCCGCGAAGGCCACATCACCACACCAGGTGCCCCTTGAACAGTCCGATACCCAAGAGATTAACAACCTAATCGCACAGGGTGTGTTTGAGTTCATTCGTTTCGACCCCGTGGCCCACAAAGGCCAAAGACTCTTTAAAGCACGCATGGTCCGCGAAGTTAAAGGACTCGGACCAACCACAAGGCCCTACGAGAAATCCCGTCTCGTCATTCAAGGCTATAACGATCGTGATAAAGAGAATATCCTTACCCAGTCGCCGACCGTGCAACGGCAGCACAGCGGCTACTCCTCTCAATTGCCCCCTCCCTCGCAGGTGAAGCCTCCGTCTTCCTGCGTGATATCACACAAGCGTATATTCAGTCCAAAACCCCCCTGAATCGTACGATACTCGCACGCCTCCCAGCGGAATTAGTGCCCCGCTATCCCCCAGACACCATCATCCACGTCATCCTTCCCCTGTATGGCATAGCAGAGTCAGGTCTCCATTGGTTCGTGACATATTATAGGCATCATCGTGAGCGCCTCGGTATGACACATTCCACCTTTGACCCCTGCTTGTTGATCTCCAATGATCAAGCCGCCGGCTTCGGCATGGTCGCTATGCAGACGGATGACACCTCCTCCTCGCCTCCCCTGAGTTCGCGGCCGCAGAAGAAAAAGAGATCCAGAAGGCTAAGCTCCGCTCGAAACCAAGGAGCCAGCTATCGGCCGCGACTCCCCTCGAGTTTAATGGTTGCACACTTCTAGCCCAAAAAGACGACCTTATCATCCAGCAGAAGGGCCAAGGCCAGAAGTTAGCCACCATCTTTCTCTCCTCCACGGATCGCGCCCAGCAATACGCCCAACAGCGCGCGCGCGGCATATATCGCATCAATCTGCCAGCCCGAGGCCACGTTCGACTACTCAGTCGCAGCACAAGTGCAGCAGCCGGAAGCCCCGGACTACAAGACCCTGAACAAGCGGATACAATGGCAGACCGACAACCTGCAACGAGGACTCCGCTATGTTCCCTTGGCCTTTTCGACTGCGAAGCTAATGGTATTCACGGACGGTTCGTTCGCGAACAACAAAGACCTAAGCTCACAACTGGGCTTTGTTATTGTGCTCGCCAACGAGGAACAGAGCCCTGCTGATTTCACGATCAGAGGCAATGTCCTGCACTGGTCATCTACGAAGAGCAAGCGAGTGACCCGGAGCGTGCTAGCCTCGGAGATCTACGGCATGGTCCAAGGTTTCGATATGGCCATTGTCATCGCGACCACCCTGCAGGCTATTGTCAAGCAGCTGGACCTACCCCCGACTCCCCTCATTGTCTGCACCGACTCATACTCGCTACCATGCCCCACCCCCCTTTCGGTAACACCCACCTTTCGGTAGCGCAATTGAAAAATTCTCCACCAAAAGTCTACCATTTGAACTACATGAAATATGATCAGAACTTAACATTATAAACACAAAAAAATATCATTCCGTAGAGAAATGGACGCTCTTATATGTACCGGCGCTTTTTCCCATTCGCCCCGATCTGGTGGTGACTGGAAGGGCTTCGGTGCCACCTTGACTTCGATCACTGAAGCTGTCTCCACCTCTGAGACCGCCTCCTCCTCTGTGTCAGAATTCAGCACAACGGCTATCTCTTGGCTTTTAATTTGGGAATGGCTTCCTCAGCCACCAAAGCTTCACTGAGAGTCATGAACCGTCTGTTCGGGTTCGGAATTGCTCTCCTCTTCTTGCCTCTCTGCAGCCGGGCCACTTCTTCCTCTAGCTTCGCGATTCTGTTGCTGTGCTCGGCAAGCGTCTGTTCTTGGGCTTCAAAGCCTCTAGCTATCACGGCGTATCGTCTCCGGGTGCCAGGAGTCTTGTTCTTTCCGAAATCGCGAATCTGGCGGCTGTTTCTTGGCGTATCATCAGAACCAAAATGGCGCGGACTTTGGAGACGTCTCTACAATGTCCGCGTGAATTTCTGGATGCCGCAATGCCTTGGATCGTGAGATCGGCCAATTCCCAGTGACCCTCCAGCCGGACAATATATTCTTTGCCGTCATTCCAACCTCGCGCGCTTTAGCATATGCCCGTATAAAATTGACCTTATGAACAGGCGCAGAATCGGTCAAACAGGTCAATTTCTGAAGTTCTTTCCGGTAAGCTGCCTTGGAGGCATTGAATACCCCGTTATCTAACGGCTGGAGGCCATGAGAGCAGTGGGCAGGAAGGTAACAGCAATAAACGTTGTTCAAAAAGCATGTGGCCATCCATGCATCCTGGTCCCGGTTAACAGTAATTCCTACAGAGGTGGATAAAGAAACGCACCGTTGCATGACTTCCATGTCCATCTAATATGATCAGTCTAGCATCTGAGGCATCGGCTGGTCGCGTCTGGGGCAAATAGACCCTCTCAAGCCACTCAATAGCGATATGGTTGTCCGTCCATCCGTTGGGCGACGTTATGTAATGCCAGTTGGCTATTTTGCCGAATTCCGTCAAGAACCACTGTTTCTGAAGTTCTTTGCCCTTAAAGATAATGCCAGGGTAAGGACACGGCCGTCCGCGGTGATAGCTTCAATAAATGAGGTCCAGTTGCGGGACTGTGGCCCTTTCAGAAGAGCCTTCCGTTTTGGGTCTGCACTCCCAACCACAAGACTATCCAAACCTGGCAAAAGAGTCTGGTTAGTAAAAGTAATGAAAGACAAGCCAAATACTCACCAAAGCCAGACATAATACCGCCTTCGTCAACATTCACGGTATTTTCTGGTTTAATCCATCCATACTCCTTTTCCTGATATCGAAGAACCAGTGAACCGCCCGAGGCGTAAAAGCATTAAATCGGTTAGCTTCCTGACGTCTCCCACGCTTGTTCTTGATGTCCGGATGGCGATTGATGAATTTAGAGACCCAGTTGCACCCCACTGTCCGCTCGTTGTTCAGTTGCTTCATAAGAGCCTCCACACATGCGCGGATCTGACTGTGGGAGGAGCATAGCCGAGAGACTCTTGGCGGAGGATCCAAGAAACCAAGCGAGCTTCCTGAGACTTACTCAAGAGTTGACGAGGCTGGATCTGATCAGCCAGGGCTACCTGGCCTTTGAGTCTGTCGGAAATAGACTGCTGAGGTATGTCATACTTTTGGGCGGCGCGGTACTGCGACAAGCCGTTTTTTGTGACATCAATTATCGCATTAGCCATAATATCCTCCGTATAAATACTCCGAGGCCGCTTTAAGGTCATTTTGGTCTTGTGGTGGAGGAATAACGAGAAGAATCATCGTCAGGAGGCGGAAGGAGATTAGGGGGTTGGATGGTAATTTCGCGTGCAAGGTACGCACAGGCCACAGACCCCTGTACAAACATTCAACCATCGAAAAGTAGAATTCAATCAATCCTCTATCTACTCCAAGTGACGGCTTGTGAATATCTTCAAAGCTGGCTGGAATCGGTGTAAGTGAAATTGATGGTTTTTGGTGGGGATATTTTCTAATGCGCTACCGAAAGGTGGGTGTTACCGAAAGGGGGGTGGGGCATGGTATACGAATGCCTCGTAAAGCTCGGGACCACGAAAGAGAAGCGACTCATGATTGATATCATGGCGCTAAGGCAGTCCTACGAGCAGCGCGAGATGGCAGAGATCCGTTGGATCAATGGGGATGACAACCCGGCTGATGCGATGACCAGCAGCACCCAACCGTGCTTTGGAACGGTTGATTGAGACGAACAGGCTGACGATTCGAGTGGAAGGATATGTACAACGACCCGTGACCGCAGACACCACCTAACGACAAACGACTCCATGATGACGAGCCTCCCTTCATTGAGACCGGAATGAAGGGCAGGCACGGCAGCCTTCGGATTCCATCACGAAAAGAAAAGACTGCCTGTGTTGGAATACTAACCTGCTGAGTAACCCGTGCAATCGGGATACCATCACGGTTCATGCACGACTCCCACGTGACACCCTACCCGCGATCAGGGCACGCAGCCCCGGCTGCATGCCCCATTACCAGTGCACATTCCGTTTCTTGTGAATAGCTTCCTCTTCCCTAGTTAGTTACAATTGAAGTCATCACCGGTTACCCTACCTGTCGTGACTGTGACTCAGCCTACAGCTTGTGCGCATGCGTATCTGTAGGCACATAGGTGCCTACCATCAGGGCTCCTAATAGTGCAAGTAGTGCGTGTGAACACCCCAAACGGCCCCTTCAGTGCGTGTGACGCCACTGGACCAAACTGCCAGTGCACTCGGCCTGGGCGCACTGAACTGGCAGTGCCAGCCCACATGGTCAAACCAAACTGCCAGTGCAGACCAGATGGCCAAACCAAACTGTCCGTCCGTTCGTCAGCGACAAACTGCACTGCACTGCGAACTGCAGTTTACACTATCAGTGCGATATATAAAATACAGGCTTGGCGCACACGATTGAAGTCAAGACGTTATTTCCGCCTTAGGCCGTCCATGTGCCCATGAATCCCTCATTGCTTCAATGCATCACGTTCTACCAAGCCGATGCTGACTTCGTCCTCGAGACCTGAACCTTAGGCTTCAGAGCTGACGCGTTCGATGGTGTCGTGACTGCTGTCCATGTATCGACACTTGAAATGCACTCGTAAGAAGCTGGTCTCCATTTCGTTGGTTGGGAACTTCCCTCTGTCGGAAGTATCAGTGCGCTATTATCCCAAGACCTGAGGCATTCCAGAAGATTGAGTGTTTCGACGTTGATAGAACCTCGCTGATCGGTCACTGATAACTTAGCCTTAGAGAAGAGTCGCTCCGTTTCCGCCGACATCGGCGCGATTGACAGAATGTCTATAGCCATCAAGGATAGGCCGGGAAATCGTCGCCGCTGCGCTGGATCTAGCCACCATTTGAGCGGATCCGATACCATGATTACAGGTTCGCGACAGTACACATCATACTCGTCATCATCCATGCTGAAAATCGTAGCCTTCTGCTCTTTCATCCATATTTTGTATCCGTTTGGCCGTTTTGCATCTGGCCTTTGTTCAGGAATTGGTCTGGTAATGCAGCACTGCAAGGCCGGTTTGTATTCATCTCTCCACAACTGCTCAACGCGAGCCTTCGCTCTTTCAATCCACTCTTGCCTGTCTTCCCAGGTCTTTTCCATGTACGTCCACTTGAGAGAAGGATTGAAGACTGTCGCGGCCGAAAGACAGGTGAATCTTCTGTGAGCTCGTAGTCAGCGCTCCTAATAGTGTGGACCATTAAGAGGACTATTAGTGCACACTGTGGTTTACACTATTAGTGCCGCACTATTAGTGTAGTGTGCGTTTCTCACACCACACTGGTGGTTCAGTGTAGCTTGCCCAAACTGAACGGGTAGTTCAGTGCAAGGGTCCAGACTAATAGTTGCACTATTAGTGCGCCCCATGATTACCAGCAACCCGGATTTTACTACCTTGAAATAGGGTTTCGGATTGATTTCCAACGAAAACATGTATAACCTGTAAGACGAAGTGCGTATTATCCAAGTGGCGGAACCCCGGTCGGGGAGTTATGATATACCCGTTATGTCACCGTACAAAGGCGGGGTGCCAGGTAGCCTCTAACCTATCTGTCATCTCTAGGGTAGGAGGCAGGCTGGCTCGTCAATATTTATGCGAAGCAGTTGAGATGCCAATACATTCGCTTCTTTCCGTTGTAATTAAGCATACTGGTAAGCGTCTAAACACAAGCTTTGCTAAGAGCTTCCGCCTGTTATTGACTTTATTATGCTATCAAAACATGTTGCTAAGTTATCGTTTCTGGTCGAGAAAACCCATTATACCGGATGTTGCCCTGCCAATTTGTTCAAGTTTGTCAGTCGGGTTACAGTCCAAAGCGCAGATTGAGCCTCGGCCACACTTCTACGGCCCCAGCTACACCAATCATTAGCTTCATAGGTCGATGCACCGCAAGCCTTCTGATGCTCTTCTCGTCGAGGCTCAACTGAGGATCTCCACCGCCGTTGCGTACGCAAATTGGATGCCGACGTTAGGAACACTGGGGCGTGTCGCTTGGCTGGCACGAGATGAGCGCGAGACGAGCGCGAAGCGAGCACGTACGGAACAATTCGCGACGATGTAAAGTTTCGTCGTGCGCCGACGCTAAAGGGATATGACCGATCATTGGCCGGCAAACTCAAATTAATTGGATTCTGTGGTCCAAACCAAATCACTAGGACTTCCTAGGGTGGTCAAAAAGGAAGTTGTCCACCACAGAATGATCTGACCGGAGCTGCCACAAACAATCCGGTTTATCCCACCAATCCTGCTCTCCGCCAGATTCCCATGATCGCCACTCTTATGGTCTAGTGCATTCCCTAGAGGATCATGTCCTCCATCGTGGATCACTCCGAGGCTGGCACCTATATAGATGATTCTGACCTTA